ATTATCCCAGTTACCCTCTTCTATACCTTTTTTTTTTTTTTTTTTTTTTTTTTTTTAAAGAGATGTTGAAGGAAAGAAGATACAAATAGGTAAGTGAGGTGGAAGTGAAGATGATATGGCTTAATGCAATAAAAAATACCCCTGATAGTTTTAATAGCCCTGATAGAGCAAAAAAATACCCCAAGCTGATAGTTTGCTGCAACTTGATAAAAATCATGAACTACAACTGGTTTTGCTTTTTATGCTCTTCCCCAAGACAGTTGCTTCTGAGTGGAAGCACATGTATTTCTTCCTTGCTTTGGTAGCCTTAGTCTTTGTGGTAATACAAGTTGGACTTGCTGTTCATCTCTTTCAGTGCTCCCAGCTGGAGGCTTGTGCTCCCTGTTCTCTGTAACATGCCATAGTTCAAACAGTTGGGTTTGATGTAATTTAATTATCTATTAATTAGCTATTTAATTCGATGAAAAAAAAGAAACTGAACCCTATATTTCTCCCCTATTACATGTTAAATCATGTTCATAAGCAACAGTTTAAGAGTTTAGTAATAGCCAATGTTAGACAGTTTCCTTCTGCAATTCGATGTTCAGATAAGCTTTAATTTATTATAATTTTTGCAAATACATCTCCTGAGTGTTCTATTTCCTTAGCTGTTTCGTTCCTTCGCTGTTTTATTAGTGAGGTTGGTTTTGTCTTCATTATGTCAAAAAGCTCTTAAAGGAAACATGGAAAAAGAACAAAGCATTCCAGGAAGGCGAAACCAATTACTTTTAATTAATTTGGCTGATAGAGGATGGTCCTACCCAGTTGTTATGTAAGGGCAAGATATTAGAAGGGAATTTGAACCTAGAAGTAGATCTTAAGTGAATACAGAAGGAACTGGTGGAGTCACCACCATGAAAATAACACGTGAAGGTAGAAGAAGATTTTAATAGTGACTGTCTTTTTGTTACCCTTTGTCATGTAATCTTCTATTTTGCAGGTTCTGGGGGGAAATGCAGGGGGGCCTAGAGGAAAGGTAGTGCTGATTTTGCACTCTGGAAATGGAATAGCATTAGTTTGCTTGCCACCACAAATCTGTAGGATGTTATGACCTCTTGCATTGTACTTCTACACATCTTGCTTCAGCAAGACTTCTGTTACCTACCTATGCAGCTGATTAAATGCTTTAGTTTTGCTTTTTATCTTGAAGGTTCTTTATTGAGCTATCTACAGACCAAAGTTGTGTGCTATTTTTCTCTTTTGGAAAACTTTTCCTGGAGAAGGTGCCCTTTGTTCTGTTCTGCTTGTTCCTATGAACTCTTAAAGCAACATTAAAATGTTCTAAAATACATACAGAAATACACATTGTTGAAATTTATATTTATGTTTATATTTATGTTTATGTTTATATTTTTTAAAAGATTCAGCTTGTTTTTGTCTACTATCCTGTTATATAACTGTTCATTAGGACTGACTTTTTCTCTGTAACTTCAAAGGCTGCACAAATAATTTTTAATCTAGCACAGTGGCCAGTATATATATAATTTGTGTGTGTGTGTGTGTGTGTGTATATATATGTATATATAAAACCTTACGTCAAAGGCGGAGTTTTATTGGGTGATTTTTTTTAAGGTGTCCCAAGACCTCTCCTGTTGAGAATTGAAGGCTTGTCCTCCAAATATTGGGCGTTACTATCCAGCATGTGGGAACACAGCTGCTTTGAGGAGAGAGTGTTTTATACCAAGAGGCCCTGCAAGTTCATATTGGTCTTCTGTGCTGTGTTCTGCTGTCTGATAATCCTTTTCACTCTGAGATGCTGAAAAGTCTTCCAGCTTTCATAAAAATACAGGAACTCTGCATCCATCACTAGAAGAGCTCTCTTTGCTAGGATTGCTGACCATGTGCTCCCAAGACATCAGGTTCAGGCGCGATGCGTCGTGCTGGAGATGATGTGCAGGCTGTAGGAGTCACGCGCAGGATGGAACTCAGTTGGGACTGATGATTACTGTACTTGTGCTATTGTACTTGGAATAATTTGTCTGTAAGCAGATGTAGTTATATATGCAAATTTAAGAAAACTTTAAAAAAAAAGATGCTCAAAGTCCCTTTTCACACTGTAGTGTTGCAATGTTTTTGGATTGTCTTAAATTCATTGCATTTGGTAATGCCGTTAAGGAAGCGAAGTTTCTCTCACCCCTTTGCGTATATCCTCCCTTAAATTTTGCTTCAATTGCCTATGAACCAAACTGGGAGGAGGGCAGTGACACTATAGGTCTCAGCTCTGTTTCCCCCAGACTGAATAAATGCAGATGTCTCTGCCTCAGAAATCAAAGCCACTGTGGTTTGGCCTTAGACCTTTCTCTTCTCCAAGAAATGCTGCTCCTTTGAGATTGAGAACTTCCTCCTTTTGGCAACTATGAGAAGTGGATACTAGGAGGAAGTCTGGATATATAGGACTAAAGCCATAAGGGTTAGAATTCAGCTTTTGTATTTTGTATTTGCCTTTTGAAAGGTGGAATTGAGGCTTTTTGTGTTTCTCGAAGGAAATCATGATTAAATCTAATCTCTTAATCTTTTTTTATTCATTGTACAGACGTCCACACTGAAGCAGTACAAGCAGCGCTGGCCAAGTACAAAGAGAGGAAAATGCCCATGCCTTCGAAAAGACGATCTGTTCTCGTGCACTCTTCAGTAGAAACGTACACCCCTCCAGGTACCTACTGAGTTAACATACGTATATGTTGCCAGGTGAATGTAATAATAGCAAAATGCAAAAAACAAATGCTTTATTCTGCTCCTTTGGAAGTATGTTGCAGTAAACTTCTTCCGTATTCATGCCTGTAATTTCTCATATCCAAGTGTTGATTGCATTTGTTCTTTGATGTGTCTTTCCTGGAGAATTTTAGTCTCTCATCTAGAGATACTACAGATGCCAAGGCCCACACAAAATCTCTCACAGTTAGGGAGAGCAGTTGCCCTTTATGCATTAAGTGTCTTCTCATACGTATCATCTCCCTCGAAAAGACGTAATCCTGGCAAGCATGTCAGAGCTGTAAATAGCTTATTTCATGTTGCATAAGATCCTTTCCTTTGAGATGAAGAAAACGCTGAAGTATTAAGTTGCTGCATTAGCTTGCAAAGCATTCATCAGACAGAACTGTGAGCAATTCAAAGCACTCAAGCAGTCATATGCTATAATTGCTTAGTTTGTTTAGCTCAGAAAGGGTTTTTAAAAAAACTTTTTTCAGAAAAAAAAAATCATCTTCCTGTTGTCTCACAATGAATACTCTAGAGGCTGAGAAAAATGTTTCTCCAGATACATGTTGTGCTAGCAAGCCAAATATTTTGGGGCCCCTATCTTGCATACAAAGAAAAGGAATTTCCTTTAAGCCCTGAAGTTTTAAATGCTGTGCTCTTAGTATGGTCCCCCTTAATGTGGCCCTGGAGTAGGTGCACACTGACCTCTAGTGCCCTTCGTCATCAGTTTTCTTTCTTATCCCCATCAATAAGAAAAGCTCTGCTGTGCTGCTCTCTCAAATTCCAGAGCTGTATTTTTTCTCTCTTCTTCATAGGAACTATACTTTTTTTTTTTTTTACTAGTTGTATTCTTTTGTATAATACTTTGTGTGTGTGTGTGTGTGTGTGTGGTTTTGTTTGTTTTCATTAGTTAAAAATAAACAGTATCTTCTCTAGTCTTGAATCTGGTCATCTTCACCTTGATACGTTTTTCCCTTTCGTAGTTTATACGTAAGCTTATTCTTCTAGTATTCATTTACTCAGAGGCTTGTGACAGCAACTCTTTCAGCAGAGTGGTTATCAAAGCATGCTGCATCATGGCATGCATCTTGCATACATGTTTTTGTATATGAAAGTTGTAAAGAACTGCTTAATTTGAAATCATTGAGAAAATGAAACTCTAGTGCCCATCTTTATGTTGAGGCATCAGGAGATAAGTCCTAGAGCCTCTGTTTATGGTTCTTCAAGCAATTCATCTTCAAAGGAGAAAAAGTCTTGGCGTTTTGAGAGCTCTCCACAACTTTTAGATGGCTTTTCTGTGTCTGCTTACAGGGAAGCTGCCTGTGCAGCTCAGGTCATATCTAATACATTCCAGCAGGCTTTGTTGTGAAGTATGCTTACAGGGCTTAGATAAGATAAGCTCCTGCGAAGTACCCTGCTGAGGAATGCACTTGAATTTATTGGTGTCAGGAAAGTGGATTTTTCAGTCTACAGGAAAAAAATTACTGTTAATGAAGAGTGGCTAGAGTGTCTTCTAACGTGCCTTTCCACGTGTTTAGCACTAATGCTAAATACAGGATACAGAAATATGCTAGTGATGTATGAGGAAAAAGATTAAGTTCCATAGGAACTGCCGTGTTGGATTTGAGTGAAGGTTATTAGTTATGGGTCTTGGGATTTTCCTTTCATTCTCCATGTAAGAGAATGGGTCACTGCATGGGCATTTTATCACTGAAAGATACAGCCATTCAAAAATAGTCAGTGGATTTACTTCAGCTGAGTTTATCTACAAGGACAGTCATTTCATGGCTAAGACTGTTTTCCTTGATTTGCAAAGCAAGCTCAGCAAGAAAAATCTTGCATTGCAAAGAGCCTGAGTCACTCCTGAAGCTGCAAGTTTTGCTGTTGAGCACTAGCAACAGGTCATTGCACTAGCAAGGAGATGCACAAGACTGGCTGGATATGGAGGTGGGCTCCCTCCAAACCAAAACAAACAACAGATTGTGATAACTGGTAAAGCTTTTGGGAAAGATAGTCATGTATAGTAAGTCTTGTATTGTGGTAGTGCATAAAACTTTGTAGTAGTGCATAAAAGCTCTCCTGATCTCTGCACGGAGTCCACACACTTTCTGCAACCAAATTCCAGACAAGTGTACTTCCTATCTTGAAGTAGTCTTTGAGAGAGCAATAACCCTAAATTCACGATAGCTTTCATCAGGAGCGCCCCATGCCTTTGTTCCTTGGGGTTCCTTCAAGACCATTATATCAGCTGCTTTAGCACTCTGCATGCTCTGTTAAAGTTACTGGCAATGTATAGACTTGAACTGTTAAATTCTACCTCAAAAGTTCTTGTATTGGCAGAAATTAATGCAATTAAAACCAGGCTTTCTTCATATTTAAAAGCTGAAATTGTGCTAGAAACATTTACTTGGCTACTCAGGAAGGAAGCATCTGATTCCAGTCACGATGTAAGGTTCAAAACCAACTCCCTTGATAGGTGGTCATGAAACAGCTCTTCTCAATCACCCTTCCAAAAATATTCTTGTGCTTTTGTTTTCATGTCGGTCTTTCCCGGACTGATTCCATGTGCAGAGAACTTCAGCTTAGCCTCGACGTTAGGTCCAAAGGGTGGTGGTTTCTGTGGCTATCTTGGGTGAGCTCCCAGCCAGGAAGAGTTGCAAGCCAAGTACATAGCATTCTGCACAGCACAGCACGGCATGGCGTGGAGCGGAGTGGCCTTTAACTCCGTGCCTCTCAGAGGGCTCCTTTGCTGCCTTGAGCTTGCTGCTGTTCCCCTTCTAATTGTGTTTCATTGCTGAGCATTTCTGTCACCAGGTGCATCGTGTTTAATTTTACATTTTCATTTATAGCCTTAAGTTTAGAAGCATGAAGTTGTTTTTGACTTATATAAAAGATGTGCAAACTAGTCAATTTTATAGAGTTCTCCTTAAATTTGTTATTGTTTATTACTTAAAGGAACACTTTCAGAGTAAGTAGGCTTTAAGAAACTCTTTTTTCTTATATTTTTACTCTGAAGTGGTAATAAATCACTAACGTATTTTTGCTTAGCCTGAGAGCTTGTAATCCTGTCTTGTTAGATTTTCCGGGAATTGTTTATTTTTACCTCCTACCCCCCAAAAAGGAGAAGGCTGCAAGCCCTAAGGAGTTGGTTTGGCCCCTCTCCAGTAGAGGGAGGCAGCAGCCAAAAAGTACAACCAGAGGAGTAGAGCAGAAATGCCTAAGGCTCAGCCCCAGGAATGATGAGCTACCACAACGGTATCTTCCCAAAGATCAATTCTTTGTGTGTGTTCATTCAAAACTTGTCATGTTTGCCACGAGGTGGTCAAGCACTGAGAGATTTGCAATTCTAACTTGGAAAAAGCCATTCCATCCAACTGGATTTCTTAGGAAGTGCATTTGGAAAAAACTCCAGAATATATCTTCATTATTGTGCTTTTCCAACAACTCCTGTGGTCTTCTGCTTGCAGCATAATTGTGCTGGCTGTTACATGTGAATTTGAACTGCTTTTTACAAACTAATTTTCAGTATGTGGGAAGTACTTTGTTTTAGGAGCTATTCACAGACTGAGTCAATGAGAAGTTTATCAATATGTTGGGGGAGAGTTTGTCAATATATAGGATGTGCATTTTTTTCTCAGCTTTCCTCTAATTCACCTAGAAGGGAGGGGAGAAAGTATGATGAGGTTCTAATTCTTCAAGTACAGCAGTTTCTTTAGGAAGAGCCTGAATGCTCACCTGTAGGGGACATTCACTGCTGTGACAAGCATCAGTTTCACATTATGATAATTTTGACAGAAATTGAACCAAAAAAAGACAAGATTTTTCTTTAATAAAAGTTTCTGATGTTCACTCATAATCAATAGAGCTGTGTTTTCTTGAACTTTAAAAAGACCTTTTTTAATTGCTATCAAGCAGGTGAGAAATGTGGAAGGAGCACACATGGGAAGTGTCAGGCAAGTTCTGAATAGCTGGGAAATAACTAAAACAGGAGTCCTTCATCAGGTTGTAACAGCAACAAACACACATCCACAGTAAAAAGATGTTTTACACTATCATACTCATTAGTATTGATTTGTGTGGTTATAATACAAACTTTTTAATCCTTAAATTATTTTGGGTTAATGAAAGTACTCTTATTGAACTTTTTATTACTGTGTTTTTTTAACATCTGTAAAATAATAGAATTTATTCAGGGAGGATGAATCCCAATTCACCTCTTCAAAACGGAACTATCCTTTCAATGCAGTCTGTATGCTGTGGCCACTTGCAGTGGTTAATGACTGCTCAGTTGCTTAGGCAGTAGCTTTTTCAGGTCTTCCGCCTTTCCAAATACAGGATGTAAATGACACTTCTTTGAGGGGGTACTAGATATAATGTATAGAAGTTGTTAAAAAAAAAAAAAAAAAAAGGCAATGAGCAGAATTAGTGCATGTGAATAGACCATTTGCTTGATACATGCATCTCGTGTTTAGCACATGAGAACGCTCCGTGAAGAACATGGAAAATCTTCATGTTCCCGTGTGTTGGGTCATTCGCACATTACATGCCTGTCATCATTATTTTAATCACAGACACATCGTCCGCATCGGAAGATGAGGGCTCCTTACGTCGGCAAGGGCGGATCACCTCCACTCCGTTCCAGAGCCATTCCAACGTAGAGCCCTGGCTTAACCGGGTCATTCAGGGCTCCTCCACCTCATCCTCTGCATCCTCCACCTCATCTCATCCAGGAGGGAAACCCGCCGCTGCTTCCAATACTGCTACTGCCACCGCTGCTGCCACTGTGCTTGCAGATCTCATGGCACACACCCAGCTAGGTCAGTAAAGAACTACCTGTGTCATTAAAACAAATTCAAAGTTTTTTAATAAAAGAATGCAAGGATAAACACAAAAGTCAGGTATGAGTACTGCACTGCACCTCATGGTTTCCGTAAATAGCCTTACAATGTCCAGTCTACAGACCAGGTATGTATGATGTACATGTATATAATTTAAACAAAACTAGTTATTAATGAGTTCTTAACACTCCTTCTCTTGATAAAATAATAGATTTATGAAGAAACTATTTAAAGTGAAAATTTTAGTAAATTAAAGAACAGCGTTTGCAAGGGGTCATATTTTTGATGCATGCTTTCTGATCTGCATGCGTTTGCCCCAGCGAACTTCAGGTTGAGAGTTCAAAAGCAACGCAAGTGGTAAACGTCTAAACAACTAAAAAGACATCTAGAATCTTCGGGAAAGTTATGAAATCAGAAGTAGTGACAATGTTAGATTTCAAATTGAAATATATATTTTTTTTCCTGCTTTAATTAAAGTCATCAAAAATAGTGCTTTATGGAACCAAAGTAAAAAAGTTAATATTGGTAAGCCAAAAGGCAAGTGGAAATTTTGCCTCATTCTCTATAATATTATGAGTGTCCAGGGCTTCAGGTTACTTTATTTCCTTTGTTTCCAAAATGCAAAGCACTGGTTTTGTGCTCTTAGGAGATTTGGTAGGGAGGGAGAAAAGACTGCTTTTCCAGTGTAGAAATGATTTTTACAGCGCTTTTTCTATGCTCTAGTGAAGATAGCTAGTGAGAGGTGCGTTTTTTTCCCTCTGTATGTTCCTCACTTTGGATGTTGGGGAGTCTCTGAGAGGGGCCATCTATGCTTTTGCTGCTTGTATTTGTCCCCTTCTCTGTTTCGATTGGGCATGTCTTTACTTTGGAAATTAAATGTGGCAAGAAATTTAGATTTCTAAGCTTTTGTAGAAGGCAAAACGTGTGTTTTACTTCTTTGTCTAGCTTGCTGGACACTCTTGCCTTAGAAAGCTGCTGCATACTGGAATGTTGTTGTTTTGTTTGTTTGTTCTCTTCCTTTATTACCAAAGTTATGGGTGACATTTGCCAGTTTTTCATGTGGTTCATCAGGGATGAATAAGCTAATTGGATTTTTATCTTAAGTTAAATTTTGAAGTAATTTGTTAATGAGAATTTTTTTTTCTGTCTGTCTGCAAATAAGCCATTTCATTACCTGTAAATGTATCTCTAATTTTTTACCTTCTCATTTCCAAACTTATTTATTAATAATTTAGAAATTTGAGATCCTGCTGCCTGGTCATAGTACCACTGCAAAGCATCCAGCATGCCAGATACACTGGGAAAATATTGGACACCCTGCTAACTTGAGAATATCTTAAAGTAGGAATCACAGAAATCTGGGTTCTTTGTACTTACTGGGTAGAAATAGGATGGAATATTCCTACAGTTTGCCTTAGGCTTTGAGGGCAGTCAGGTTTTCACGATGGATTCAAAGAGATTGTTAACTCTTTAAACTTAACAAATAAACTTGGAAGGATTACCATTGCTGTATGTATCATGATGAAATTTTTAATATACTCATTAAAAACTTAGAAAATAACACAATGTACAATATGTAACCCAGCATCCTGTTACATAAATATCTCCACCTATAAAAATATACATCAGGTTTACCTATCCAGACAGGCTATATACTCATGAAAATCATATGCAGAATCGGTGCCTTGTTATTCTGAGCTCTGAAAGTTCAGAGCTTAAAAAACTGAGTGACCGCATGTAACAGAGTTGTTTGTGGTTTCATGTGTGGGGAATAATGTATGGCTGCAGTATGTATCAGGAAGGAAGTTCAGGAATCGTAAAGCATAATGCATAAAGCACAGATCTCAAAAAGTATTTAGAAAGGTAAAATATTTAGTGCCTTTGACCAAAAAAAGAGAAATGTCTCTCTGCCAAAGAAGTCTTCCTCATCTCTGCAATACCTGTCCCATTCTGTAGGCTTTCACCTTCATTCCTAGCACTTGTGTGTGTCCTATAACACTTAGGTTTTAATAATTTTCATGTTAAAGCAGTGCATCAGCATGTTTGTGGACTTGCTCATAAAAATATGAAAACTTATTCAGTATTTATATTTTAACTCCTTTTTTATTATTGGTGTGTATCAAAATACTGGGCAGAATAAAGGACTGATTGGATTTGTCCCTAGGGCATAATACAAGTTTAGGTAATTTTTCACTTTATTTGTTGACATAAGCAATATAAAGGACATCCTACATATTTTCAGTGCTATGTCATATTAAAATATTCTATTTTATTTGTGTGCATTGAATAACCTTTTTTTCATAACTTTGATTTGTCAGAGAATTTAAATTTAGCAGCTTGTTCCCTGAGGTTAGTCTTCTCCAGTTTGCATTTATAATTAGATCATACTAAATAGCAGCCTGAGCAATGGACTGCAGGGCTAGGAGTGCAAAGTTACAGCGTAATTAAACATGTATCTTGTGCAGAGTGATATCTTTGTCTTTCATCAGTAAAAGCAAGGGCAACATCTAACATATCTTTTTTTCTTTTAGTGTAACATGTTTCTTGGAGGGAGACAGGGTAGCAATTTGTCCGGGTTTTTGCAAGGTCACAGTCTCTGCCATATAGCATTTCCCAAATTGCTACTTGTAGCTTGCCTAGTGAAGTAGATGCTGATGATAATTGACCCACAATCTATTCATAGAAAGACTTAAAAGATTATAAAGATATAATTCCTTTTCCGAAGAGGAAGTGGGGATGAGATGGAAGTGGATGCTTTGAGCTGCAGTGATTCTCTGAACAGCCCGACTGCAGTTTGTAGGAGTGAAGCCTGCAAGAAGCAGGATTTCAATGAGTTAATTGAAGAGGAAACACAGGAATGAAGTAGTGGCTACTGTGTTGGACCCTATTGTGTTCCTGCTGGCTTTGTTTGCTCTTTATTGTTTTACTGTTGTTCCAATACAATTTAATAAACTTATTTTGAAGGTCTGTTTTGGTTAAGTAGTTTCCTGGAGATAAAACAATCAGACACAGCAGTCTGTAGGTCTAAACCATCTTCCTGCTGAGGTTCTGAATGTGACATTTCTATCGTGTGTGAATCTTCAGTCGCTAAGAGTCCTCATTAGAGATCACTTTCTCTCTCATATCAAGCACTTTCTGCATTGTCTTCTCTACTTTTTCTTGGCTACTGCTCTCCTTTGCAAATTTCTCTGTCACTTCTAATCAGTAATGGAAAGGCATTTCGGTCTAAATCTGGTTAATCCCTCTTCCTCAAGTCATATGTCTACTCGGGCACTGCTTCTGATATCTCACCACTTCTGTGCTTTGTCTCAGCACCCATAGAGGGCACAGACCTGTTTTGTGGAAGAATGGAATGTATGTGTGGAATTCACATACATTCACATGAATGTATGTGAATGAAGTACCTGAATAATTAAGCTAGTGTGGTTTTATCTGAACACAACCAATCCTGAAAATTGAGATTATTTTACATATTTGTATAGAAAGAACATTGATTTCTCACCACAGAATTCCTTGGACAAACTGTTATATGTTGTATGTAGCATAGAGTAGTTGTAGACAGAGAATTTGCCCATAAAGACCCCTGCCATTTGTTTCCTATGATTTAGGCACATTCATTTGCCAGGAGACCTGGCTCTGACATCCTTGGAAGATAACTTGAGCACTGTGCATCAGCACTTCCATATATTGCTGTTTTATACACTATTTTATGGCTGTTTTCCATAATAGGATTTGGGCTTGTTCTTTTGAGCCTGTTAGTATGTCTAATTGTCTTGTGTGTTGTTTTTTTCTTTGTTTGTTGTTTTCTTGATCTTTTCCTAGCCTCTCCTCTCCCCCTCCCCTTTTTTTTATTTTCTGAGTACCTAACGGATGCTGGACTTTTTTTTATCAGATTTAGGGTAGCAATTTCTGGTAGGGTAGGCAAAATTTTGGGAGTCGCTATTTCTATTACAAGTTGTGAGACCAGACATTCCTTCTATATTTCTACTCTTTACTTAGGGTGAACTTCCTGGTGTTCTTTAGAAAGTGAAGATGAGAGCCATTACTACAGTTCCTTCAGCTCTTTGAATCACTTCAAAAGTGGGAATAACTTGTTCTGGAAGGCCATGGCAGTTCCTTTCAAGATACAATGCAATATCTCTTACCCCTCCGTACAAACCTCTCTGAGAGATCAAAAAAGAAAGAAGTGAGGAAACAAAGAGAATGCTCTAAGAAGCAACTTGGATATATTGAATCTTAAGATGACTTAAGAGCTGCTCTGTTTCTTATGTTTCTACAGAAAACCACTCTGCACCTCCTGACGTAACCACGGGCCTGGTGGAACACTTGCATCATGAGCGTCCCCAAGTAGCTTCAGTCCGGGGAGTTCCCAGAGGCTACAACAGCAGCATTTTGGAAACTGCTGATGGTGATTATGTTGCAAACTTCTCACCTTGCAATCTTGTTTTCCGAATAAGTCAGTATGTTGCAGAGGTGTGGCGACAGTTATGTACTATGTACATCCTACCTCTGAAGCACTAGAGATACAAGTTACTCTTGTCTTGAACAGCTCTTCCGCTTGTAGGCTGTGCTGAATTCAGTGAGATGTTTTCAGCATTGTGGATGCATATGTATTTTACTGTATGTCTGTTAACATATGGTAAATAATAAGGCTTTTCTGTTTGCCAGGTGTCCCGGTGAATAGCAGAGTGTCCTCTAAGATCCAGCAGCTTCTAAATACCTTGAAAAGACCAAAACGCCCACCCTTGAAAGAGTTTTTTGTTGATGATTTTGAAGAACTGCTAGAAGGTGAGTAACAAAGAGTTTTCATGCTTTATTAAAGCTATCCAAGCAAGTACTGACATTTTTAGCAAATTTTCTTTCCTTTTTCAATTCCCAGTGGAAAACAAATCATGATAGGGTGGTTGTCGCTGGACAGAGAGCACATACACTGTCATAAGTGAAGCATAATCTTCCTTCTTGCTCCTACCATAGACAAGTATGTGGTTAACTCTGCATCTTGAGGAGACACTGTTGATTCACGTTCAACTTCTTGTTGACAAGTGCCTCCACATCCTTTTTAGCTGGTCCAAATGAAAAAGGTTTCTTTCTAGTGACTGGAACTAACTGTGATAATATCATTTGTGTGCATGTTAGTATTGGCTTTCGAGAATGCAAAAAATTCCATGCTTTTGGGGGTTCAAGAAATGCATGGAGTGCACTGTGCAATACATCTCAGCTGGGCACTGCGTGAAAAGATAGAGGTTGAGTATACTGTGCAGGTGTTGCTCAGCTAAAAAAGTTATTTCATTTTCATTTTGCCAGCATGCATCTAAGCAGAAAGAATAGCATTTTTACCAGCTATATCAACTGCGTATTAAAAAGTTGTCCTCTTTAAAACCAGCTGCATCAGTTGATCTTGCAGGATGTTTGTCCTGTTCTCGTGGTCTTACAAATAAAAAATAATCCCGTGGCTACAGTTTTGAGCAGCTGCTCGTAGAATTCATGTATTGTTTGTCTGATGCTTTCCAATCTGAAAATCATTACAATTCTAGTTTTTCCCTAAAAACCTCCCAGGCAAATTTTCGTGACAGTTTATGTATATCACTGTGGAGAAATAGAGGGAACATCTCTTAGAACTTTTATTTATTAAGTTATTGGGTGTTAGCTATATCCAGCTATGAATCCATTATGCTAACCAAGATCAAGACATTTCAGCTTCAGTTATAACAGCAGTTTACTCAAAGATCAAAGTCTTACACAAACTCAGCAATGTTGCATGGTTGTGAGAAATGATCCACTGATCAAACAAAATGTCCCATTAGCTGTGGCATTTCAAACCTAGATAATCCCTCCAGGGAGCATTTCATCTGGGTTGTTCTATATGGACATTTTGTGTGCTTTTTATGTTTTTATATATTATTATGGTGTGTTGTTCGTCATCAGCCAGTTGGAAATTTGATGCAGCACTAGAAGATCCTGTTCTCACTGAAGCCATTCCATCTGGTAATGTTTCTTCACTTGGTGAAGGCTTTGATTTAAATACACATGCAAAACTAATAGCAGAACACCTATTTTCCAAGGCCATTTATTCTCAAAGAGTGAATGCAGGTTTCAAATCCTGTTCCTCTGTCCAAGTCCATGGAGTAATGAGATATTAAAACTTCACAATGATGTATTTATGGTGTTGTGTTGTTTGTTTGTTTTAATGAAGCCCAGATTAGCATAGCATAGATAATCATATAGCAGAAGAGACGTAACAATTGCTGTGAGGAAGAGGAAGATGAGTGATTTATAGAAGAGTCCATTAAGTGTAATCTGTGCCTTTGGTTAACATTAGTATTTGTGTCATTTCACTGTTCTCTCATTTTAGTGCAACAGCCTGATCCGAATCAACCAAAGCCCGAGGGAAATCAAATGAATGTCCTTAAAGGTGAACCCCTAGGGGTGGTAACCAACTGGCCCCCTTCTCTGCTGGCTGCCCTGCAGCGCTGGGGAACTACCCAGCCGAAAGCTCCGTGTCTGACTGCACTGGACACCACTGGCAAAGCTATTTATACGCTCACCTATGGTAGGTGTTGATGGTATAGGTAAAAAAGAACTGGCTGGTCATTATGGAATGAACAATTTGTTGTACCTGGAATGGACTGACTGTGCCAGTGATGAACACTTTGAGATTGCTGTTTGGATGCAGATTAGGAATTCATTGATTAATGAAAAAAATGTATATATGACATCAATTCTTTACACATCTTTAAAAAATGATATTCTTTTGCTTAAAAGAACCTGCAGAGAAGAGCTAAAGAGAGTCTTGTGTGAAATAGTAGGAAGGAGTAGATGACTAATAATGCGCTCCTGATTTGCAGAGCAGATGCCTAATTTTAGCATGCAGACATATTCTTGCATATCTTTATAGAGATGACTTGTAATTCAGAACATATTAAGGATGTTATGGTGGAATGCAAAACTCCTTTGCATCAGTGAACTAGGAAGTATTATAATAATTGTGGGGATTTTTTAGAAAAGAATTCAGTACCCCAAGGCAGCTCATTAGTATGTTACTTGTATTTCACTGGAATATTAACATTTCATGTTTGAATTAGTACATGTGATGAATGCTTATGGGAATTGTTAATTGAATGGGTGTATTAGTTTTGCTCCTTTGCAACTCTGGAGCTTTGAGGGGTATTTGTTTTGATATCTCTGGGTCCTGAATAACCTTTTTGTCTGTAACTATTATACATCAAAAGAAATACATTGAATGAGGAAGTTTAGGAGGTAACTACCGAGCACTGAACTGACATTTCACAGAGCCAGGTTTTACAGCATGTATTCCTACTCTTTTTTTCTGAAATTTAATTTTTTTTTTGTATTAATTTTTAAAAGGAATTTGACCAGGTTTGGGTTTTTTTTTCTTTTTTAATCCCTAGGCAGCTTCTCTCTCTAAGAGCCCTAAGTAAGAAGTTAAGTGAATTTGGGAAATCCAATTAGGTTCTGTCAAGCAGACTTGCCACGTGGGTGCACGTGCACCGATACCTTAGAAGAATTTAGTTGGTTTGTGCAATTGCCTTTGCAAAAGCAATCTTGTTTTTGTCCTGATGCTTTTACTCAGTTGCTTGCTTATTCTCTTCTAAAATCAATATGTCATGCACATTGGGTATTCAGATTTGCTGATTAAATGCTGCAGTTTCAGTTACTGCTTTTTCATTTACATATTTGTTCTTTCTTTAGGCAAGTTATGGAGTCGAAGCTTGAAGTTGGCATATACCCTGCTAAACAAACTGACTGCTAAGAATGAACCACTGCTCAAGCCTGGGGACCGGGTATGTTTTTGGTTTGAGCTACGTCAGAATAAACAGAAATTAACATTTAGATCCAAAATAAATTATATTTTTGACTTTCAGGTCTAGTGGTTGTTTCATTTCTGTAGTACTTAACAATGTACTGGATTTTGCCATGTGTGAAAGACAGAGCTATTGCCTCATCGAAACAGCTTTCACATGCATAATTTAGTTGTAAAAGCAAGATGCTTCACCTTACTATTTGCAACTCTGTGTACAGAAAATTTTGAAATCCAATAGCGAGTCCTTTTTAAATTGCTAATTTAGCCTTTTATCTGCACGTTAGCAGTTTGGAGACAACAGGCACAATTTGTAGCACTAACAAGTCTACTAAAGCCCTTGTTCTTATTGCTAGCAGTGAAAAGAATAGACGAACTGGTGTTTTCCATATCCCACGCACAGCATTTTATGTGGTTATCTGAACAATATTTGACAGCTATGAAAATATTTTTATAAGGTGACTTTCTATGTTTATATAATAGCATGTGTTTTATCCTTCAGCTCAGCCCCGAAGTGTAGTATTTCTACTAGAAAGATTGGAAAGACCATCAATAGTAGTTTTCATTAGCTATCTGTTTTTTATATACCAACTGCAGACAGCAATAGGCACTAGAGACAAGACAGCTGAGATGGTCTGTATGGATAGTCAGTGAGGTGCAGCTTTAGCTGAAGGAAATCGTATAAGACTATGATTTGCAATATTCTGTTATCACATTATTTAGTATTTCTGTTGTTAGTTTAGCTATGAACCTAAACAGTGTTATGAATGCATTTTTTTAATTTGTGTTTTAAACTGGAGAAAGAAACGTACAAAAACTTCTATTATTTATTTATGTGCTGCTGCAGGTGGCTCTTGTATTTCCTAATAGTGACCCGGTGATGTTCATGGTGGCATTCTATGGATGTCTCCTAGCAGAACTTATTCCTGTCCCAATAGAAGTTCCTCTAACAAGAAAGGTAGGTGGATGTGTCCAGCAGAGGCAAGAGCTACCTCAGATGCTGGAAATACATATAGGTACTCCCAGATCCATTGAAGTTGCTAGGAAAGATGTGAGATCAGAACTAAAAAGCTGCAAATGCTCAGGACCCAGAATCAGCATCAAATTGGGTCAGTGTTTTGCCAGAATTTATAAGCTTTCCTGGAGCGTTGCAGAGGGATGCATAGCTTTGATTTTGCAACTACAGTGGTAGCCAGATTTATTGCCATGTCTAAAGTGGTGGACCGTAAGCAAAACTTAAATATTTTTAGTGTAGATTTCAATGCTTTATCTTGTGTAAATACCTTATTGGCTAGGATAAATTTTTTTATCTCTGTATACATTGGCTAATGTTGTATAAACATGATGAAGTTACAGTAAACTTACTAGGGCTTGATTATTTGCAAGCTTGCCATAATATTATGGTTTCTCTGTAGGATGCTGGCAGCCAACAGATTGGTTTTCTTTTGGGCAGCTGTGGAGTAACATTAGCTTTAACCACTGATGCTTGTCAAAAAGGCCTTCCTAAAGCTCAGACTGGAGAGGTAGTTACATTCAAAGGTATGTTTTTAAACTGTTCCTATTTCTGTCTAGGATAAATGATGTTATATATAGAAATTGTGTCCTGCTATTAAGTCACCTTTATGACTTTGCACACTTAGATTTTACAAGAAAAACTGACATTATTGCCAAATGAGTATGTCTTAACCGAGCTCATTACATTTTCCCAGCAGCAGTATGATGCTGGAGCTTTTGCTTTCCCCTTTGTTGCTATTCCAGAATACTTGAAAAAAAGCCCTGGTTTTGGAAGTGCAGTGACAGTAATTTTTTGTTTTTCTTTGAAGGTTGGCCACGTCTCGTTTGGTTTGTAATTGATGGGAAGCATCTGGCTAAGCCGACTAAAGACTGGCATCCACAAGTCCGGGATGCCAGTGCTGATATTGCTTATATCGAAGTGAGTCACCATAATGTGCCTAACCCCCAGCTACGGTGCTGTGGTCTGTGTCACAGCATGTGTTCTTTCTTTAATCTCCTTATGCTACAGAAGAGACGGCTGCAACATTTTTCACTGTGGGACAAGAATATTTCCCTAGAACTTGCCCTGAAATTTGTCATATAAGTGGTTTTCTTGAGCCAAGCTAAAGTTTAGGGATATTTGGTGTTTGAGATTCTTGGGTCAATTAAACATGGGAAAGAGAGAAATGGCAGATTTCATAAGATGTTAAGGTATACTCTGAACATTATTTATTTTGGGGGACTAGCTCTTTGGTTCTTTTTTAAAAGTAGGTGTCATTTTGTAATACAAAAATCCTTTCAGTTCACTACTGTAAAATGTCCATGTTTGTTGTCAAATTAATGTGGGTGTCGACTTTGTCTCTGCAGTACAAGACAAGTAAAGAGGGCAGCACGGTGGGCATTACTGTATCTCATGCCTCCATGCTGGCACACTGTCATGCATTGACTCAGGCCTGTGGCTATTCAGAAGGTAAGTTGCTAGGCACAACTTTCAAGTAATATTCAGGCAAAAAATTTTCCAAAATGATTTTCCAAAAAAATTGCAAAATCATATTTACCGCCTTGCTATGCAATGATAGCTCTATCTGTAGAAGGAAAAGATTAAGGTATTTGTTTCTAATAACATGACATGTGAAGGACAGCAAGAAACCGTTTGTGAAATGACAATATATATTATTAATTCTTGTATCTAAAATATCTAAAATTCTTACCGATTGTTTTTGAGAGAGTAGATTTTTGTTCTTTATAATCTGTTAGATGGTAACAGCAATACTGATTTCCATCTTCCTGAAAGCAGCTTCTAAGACTCTTGCCTTTCTACTAAGAATGTGTTTTTCCTGCCAGGTCTATTCTCCCGAATACTTTCTGGACTGGAGGAGGCTAAACAGCTAAACTTGCGAAAAAATGCAAAGTACAGCTACTAACCATCCATATTTCAGCTCCTCACAGAGGAGACTGAATTTTCTTGTGTTCTGTATAGACCATACTTAGTATAAAGATGTACTATCTAATTTGTTCCTAGTCTCTTGTAGCTTCAACATTTTTTCCCTCAGTTGACTCTATATTCAGAAGGAAAGGAGTCTCCTTTTTGATTAATCAGGGCAAATAGAAGAATATCTCCACAACAGTCATGGCCTCCATTAGGTCTTGAAGCAAGTGATAGGTGTACTCGGTGTTGGTGGTTTCCTTGGTGAACAGCCAAGAGTTTGACCTGGCACTGAACACGTCCTTGGGTTCATCTGCGCTGCCCTTCATCAAAAACGTCTTCCTTTCAAAATCTGCTTGATGCCTGGAAGAACTTCATGGTTCAAGACACACAGTGGGGTAGTCAGCTATTCCCTCTTGGGACGTACGGAGTCACATCTAAAGGCCTATAGCACAATAAGTAATGCGTATACTGCAATAAGGAATGTAAGACACTTTGAGCTTAAGCAGCCTATGGTTATAGACAGCATAGCTTGGCAATGTAACTTTGATTTCTTAATAGTCTTACAAGTATCGTAGCTACTTTAACAGGCATTGTGGGTTATTGAGTGTTCTAGTTAACTGCATCTTAATTTTTTTTCTCTGTTTTCAGCTGAAACGCTAACAAATGTCCTGGATTTCAAAAGAGATGCTGGTCTTTGGCATGGAGTACTAACAGTGAGTATTTGAATTTAAATAAATAAACAAAGCTGTTTGCAGAGAAAGGTGTCTCGTTTGGGGAGGTGGAGCATTGATTTCAGATTGAGGTCATAAAATGTATCAGTCACCAACTATTTGTATATTTCAGCATAATATACTGGTTTTGGTAAAGACTACACAGGTATAGCTTAAGATTTTATTGATTGCATACACATAATTTTCCCTAGCAGCTAATGTTACAGCTGTGATTTTTTTTTTTTTTTTAAGATACAGGTCCATTTTTTTATTCTTTGAGACACTTCCAAGTTTATTTTTGATTATTTTTCCCACAGAGCGTTATGAACAGAATGCATGTCATCAGCATTCCCTATGCATTAATGAAGGTTAATCCACTTTCATGGATACAGAAAGTCTGCTCGTACAAAGGTAACCTTAATATTCTTTATTAACCTATCACTTCCTGGATAAAATAGGAGGCAAAATTAAATTAATGGAAAATCTACTTGTGTAAAATATATGCTAAGATATAAGCCACTGCTCTTATCCAGCTGCCTTGCGCTTCTCTTATCCAGCTGCATAGGGTGATGCCTCAGCTTTCAGCAGATATTCTCTTTAAGTGTTAGATGTATTGATTTGCTCGTTGATGATAAGTCAAAAACAGAATCAGTCTTTGTGTTGGCTCCTTTGATAGACTGTTAAGGATAAGTGTGTTTTCATCTCAGTATTGGAATTTATAGCTTTATAAATGCTAAAATCAAGTCTATCAAGAGACACTGAGTATTCATGTGTTAAAACGGTGAGACACATAGCATGTATATTCTACTTTTGTGATTTGTTTCATACATTTAAATGAACACATGAACCTATTTATATAATTACTTTTTTCTGCATGCATACACAATATAACTGTTGTCTCTTTTTTTCTATTTTCAGCCCGTGTAGCAGTAGTAAAATCACGAGATATGCATTGGTCACTTTTAGCTCAGAGGGATCAAAGAGATGTCAGTCTGAGCTCTTTACGAATGTTAATAGTAGCAGATGGAGCCAATCCATGTGAGTACAGATGTATTTTCTGGGTCCATGGTAGTTCTGTCCAGGATAACAATAAAGATTGAAACTTGAACTGGTCGTGCTAAGGTTATTTCTTGTAAGCAGTGCTTCAGACCTAGTGCTTAGAAAGCCGTTTGTTCTACAGTAGAATACTGTCTGTGTACTGTTAATATTTGCTGGCTTTTCATTGCTGTTTGCATTTCTTAACTGTGTGTAGTCGTGTAAATGCATTTTTCATTACATATTTTCATTAGTGCTGTGCTGTGTTACAGGAAGCGACATGAAATTATATGCAGGATATAGGATGACTAGTGAAGGTTACTGTTCCACATTATTATATGCACTATGATTATGGCCTTGTAAAACACAAAGCATAAACAATCAGGTATCCTTGTAGATTTTGCCCTGAGTGCTAAAGGAAAGGTAGAGCTCTGAATGCAAGTGAAGACTTCTTTTTCAGCAATATTTAATGATTATTTTAAGTCATTTGGTTTTGTGCTCTGCATAGAAAAACATTTCAAGACTTCTCAGATGCAGTTATCCTTAGTGACAGAATATTCACTAGAGCACTGTAGGATTTTCAATAATGTTAACTGTTGCTGAGTGCCACCAGAGAAAGAATGTAGGCAGTTATGGTTTTCATTCTGTGAATTGGCTGTTAACCAGTATTTTATTCTCAAAAGTAGTATCTACTAATAGTCTGGGATGTCCTTTAGGCATTTTGAAAGTATGTTGTTGTTTGCAAGATTGCAGTCCTATTTGTACAGCTGAACTGAGAGTAAACACAAACTTAGAAATTATAAAGATCAAATTTCCCTGCCCTTGACAATATGTTTCCAATTCCAATTGTTCCTTACAGGGTCTATATCTTCATGTGATGCGTTCCTCAATGTATTTCAGTCCAGAGGTTTGAGACCAGAAGTAATCTGTCCCTGTGCTAGTTCCTCAGAGGCTCTAACTGTCGCTATCCGCAGGTAATTCTCTCTTGCAAGAAGGAACTATAAATTTTCTTTAACACTGAACTGTATGTGCTGTTAAGATGGTAGTCAAAACAGAGTACAAAATAAAGATGCCCTAAGACTCAGAGAAAACCTGAGGTGTACAGATAGGTTCTTCAATAGAGGATGTGTGTATTGAAAAACAAAAGAATCTTTTTTTCTCCCTTAACAATTTGGTTTTTTTTTTTTTCCTTGCTATTTGCAATTTGGGAAAGTCCTTTATACATAGTGTCTTCTAACTTAAGGCTAAAGTGAAAAACCTTTTTGTAACTTGTCTGCAAAATACTGTGGGAGTTCAGGAGATTGTAAAGGATGCCCTGAAAAAAAAAAAGGAGATACTTTGGTTTTATAAAGTTGACATATGGATGAGGAATGCTGGAACTTTTTGACAACCTTTTTCATCAAAATGTGCTGTTCAGAAAAACAAGTTTCTAGAAAACTTGAAACAAAAAGGTTTGAGATACTACAGAATGCTTCCTTTGGTGGGAGAACTGACCTTTCTCACTTAGACAATGTATTTGAAGAACAGTGTTCTACAAAAATGTTTGGACTCTTTTGTTCTATTCCAGCCTGGAAGCTGGAGAGTTAGCAGAAAATAATCAATTCTGTTCAGAGATATAGAAATCTGAAGTCCTTGATATACTTTCTAATTTTTCTGGTGTTCAGAAAAGTTAGCCTTCAGATGCTTATTCTTGACATTTAGTTGAACATAATAGGTAACTTCCTAGATTTTCTAGGTGACAAGTTAGCTATTTGAGGTCTCTCTCTCTCTTCCCCTCTCTTTTTTTTTTTTTTTTTTTTTTTTTTTGACGGCATACGTTTCCTTTCCTTTCCTTTCCTTTCCTTTCCTTTCCTTTCCTTTCCTTTTCTTTCCTTTCCTTTCCTTTCCTTTCCTTTTTTTTTTTTTTTTTTTTTCCTGTTAATAGAATACATTTCCAGTCAGATCCTGGCATAATTTGCTTGCATGCCACTAAAAACATTAATTCTGTTAACCTTAATAACAGGCCAGACAGACTGACAGACTTGCATATGACTATTGCCATTGATCTGTTGATTCCTATCTGAATTGACTTTTGTTTTTCAGACCTCCAGAACTGGGTGGACCCCCTCCGGGAAAAGCAGTGTTGTCTATGAATTGTTTGAGTTTCAGTGTGATAAGAGTGGATACAGAAGAGAAGTTGTCAGTGCTAACTGTGCAGGATGTTGGTCAGATTATGCCTGGAGGTAGGAAAATGTGTCATGTACTTTTATTCATACTCCACATAATTTATCTTGACATAATACTTACACTGATCAAATAAACAAAACTGTCAAATGTTAAATACCTTTAACACAGTATGCCTTATGCTTTGACATATCACCTAAACACTAGAAGTTTAAATATTCTTTCAAATAGTTTATTAAAAGCTTGCAGTGGAATATTAACCTACAATACATATGAACCTGGCTGTAGATTTTGTATGGACAGTTGCTCTTGTCTGGTTTGTGGTGTTTACTTATTATTCCTTAATTAGCATTAGTGTTAACAGACATACAGTTATGTAATAGCAAATAAAGCAGACAAAACTTTCATGAGAGAAGAAAAAGCTTAGTAAGATATATCATGTACCTGAGATAGTTTGTCTCGCCCAGCAGTTACTTCTTTTTTTGATAGTCCTTATGTTTGTGTTCCAAGCCACAAGTGCTTGGAGCTCTGAAAGCTCTTCAGCAATATCTGCACTGGTGATCTAAGACTGCTTCTATAGTGTAGAAACATGCTTAGGCCAAGAGGACACCTCTGTTCCTCTCAGCCATCACAGTGTGAATGAGAACTATCTTTTGGTTTGAGATCATTCAGTATCTGGCACCAGTTGATTGATTTTGTGTTTGTATGTGGTATGGGGGCTACTTTTTATTGATGCTTTCTTTTATCACTTAGCCCTCCTCCATTCCAAGACCTAGCTTTACTTCCTGGCATGTAGTCTCTTATCAAGTAAAATCTTTGGGTCAGTTAGTTACATGAAGCTCCTTCTGGATCCTGCTAGATCCTTGCTGTATGCTCTTTGGGTGAGGAGGGCTTGACTACACAAAGGCACAAAGCAGCTCCCCAGTGCTGCCCTTCCTATCCAAGGTCAGAGCTATAAGCTCACATGGTTAATGGCCTGTAGTGCCTTTGCTCAGTAAGCAGGTTTGAGTCTGCCTTAGGATGTTGGAAGAATTATTTATGAGTTTGTGGGTAATTTCACCTTCTTCTTCCATGCAGGTTGCAAATGTTAGCTGTGTCCTTGCCCTTGTAAGATGCACAATTGGGTGGTTTGAGGGAGCTTTGACAAATAAACTCCTTTTTGGCTATTGCATAGTTTGGAGCACTGCCAGGACCCTTCTTTGAGGGTGCTATTTACAGACAATTGACAATATCAACGTGGCTTTCTTCATTAGTGTACACCAAGGAGTGATATATCTGAGAGAACAGTCACCAGTGTGTATCCATCTAGTGTTTCCAAGTGATGCGACTTCGGTGGCTGTTGCTATTCAGAGCATAGTACTAAGTGGCAAAAATGCTTGTAAATTAAGACAAAGTTGGACAACTTTAGAAATTAACTGGTTTTAAACTCTCATATTAATCCAAAGATTATGACATTGGGCAAGTTAGCTTCAATATGACAACAATAAATTTTCCATCCCTGAGGATATGTATGAACAGCAATGTATCTGTACATTTCTTAAGTTAGAAAATTCTTTCTAGTAGATATTTTATTCACTGTAAATGTGTTTCCAAGTTTAAAAAAAAAAAAAAAAAAGTGCAAGAGAAAAAGCTTTCAGATGAGGAAGAAAGTAGAAAAGCTAACAATTGTTTATAGATGTGTGCCAAAGAAACTAAGGAAATTAAAGCTTTTCAAATGAGTCTGCATGTACATTCTAACAATGTATATACTTTTGCTTTGTAAGTTTTAAGTTTTTTTCTTCAGAGTATTCATGGATGATGTGCTCTGCCTCTTCTTGCCTGGTGTTTGGCATACAGGAGAGAACATGTTCACCACCATTTCCTTTCCTGCTGCTTGATGAGTTTTTTGCTTTTTTCCCTTTTTATTTGTTTTTCCTCTTCAATTTTTCCCTTCAATTGCAGTGATTTCTCTGAATCACCTAATTTGAATCTTATGCCACCCCAGATGAATGTGTTTGTAAAGCCTTGAGGACAATTTTCATGCCTTAGTCACTCAAACATCTTATGACACAGGAGATCATATTCCTGATTACTTTTTGTTGATGTTGAAGTGTGCTGTGAAAGTCGTCTTCCAGCCCAGAGCTGATAGTGATGCTCAGACTTGTTCAGCCAATCACATGGTTCTGATCATAGTACCCCTGAAGATCCCAGTTGTAGTTTATTTGGGTATCATCTGACTAAAAGATACGGCTTAAGTGTCTGGTTTTGCCCTTGTTTTCTTCAGACTCTGCTATTTGTTCTGAAATAATGTGGATCCACCAACTTATACTACATAAAGTCTTATGTCACTGCTGTGTAAGCTACAGACCACTCTTGATGCCCCGTCCTCTTCAACTGCCTTGGCTGTTCAGTTTCGTCGCCTATTGCTAATGCCAGTCACAGGGGTCACCAAGGAAGTGCAGGTATCCACACAGCAATGTTCCCATGCTGTCTCTTCTCTTCATCCACAGGAGAATGTCATATGCATTTCTCTGGGGTTGTTCTACAACTCCTGGAGGGAAGATGTTCTATCTTGCATGTTGACCACCTCAGGCTATTCCACACTCCCTGCCTAGGGCTTTCCTGTCTGGGAACCAGCCTTGCTAAGAGCAATATTTGGCTCACCACAATCATCAAATCTCTTTTTTTTCCAATTGGTAAAGGTGCTGGTGAAAGTACTAAAATGCTATTCCCTTTCCTGTTCTGTGCCTCCAGCATCCCCGTCAACTGGGATGTGGTCAGTGTGTCATCTACCGTCTTAGAAACATGTTACACCTTTGCTTGAACCTGAATGGGAATTCTCAGGGGGCTCAGTTCAGTCATCTTTGCAGCTATTTTCACATTCCTTCCGTGACATGAAGCCAACCCTCTCACGGCTAGAAGACCTCTCTACTCTTTGCAGGGATATCCTGTGATGGTTCAGGCTAGTGGAGAGATTGCTGCAGCAATTACTTTCTACACCAAAACAGAAAGGTTTTGGTCAATGCCCTATCTTAAGCTTATCTTAAGCTTATCTTAAGGTTAATGTCTTATCTTAAGCTTCCGCAAGATGATCATCATCTATTGCATCTGCAGTTACAAGTTATGGGTGGTAACTTTGTTCAACACCTTCCTAGAATCTCAAGAATAGTTTGCATCTCTCAAACCACAGAATGCCTAATTAATGCCTCCAGTTTGTGGATGTCTTGGATGTCACTGTTTGCTCTGTCTGTGGCTCTACAAATATTTTTTCCAGATTCTAGTAGGTGTCATGATGCTTCTTCATTCCAAAGAAATCTTGTTCTTCATTTCAGTGCCTGATTTGTGCAAGTTGCTGTCATGGGACTACTTTGTGATGCTTTCAGTCTCCTTAGCTTTTTGTGAATGTGAAGAAACAACTTTTCATTTCCATTTATTCTGCGTTGTTTCTTGTAGCAAATCAGTTTTGTGTGTTCCACTTAGCTTCAGTTTACCACATGATGGCACAGCTGCATTGCCCTGCAAAGCCACTTATTTGGGGGATCTGTGGAATAGGTACAGCTGTGATGTTTTCTTCCATTTTAAATCTTGTGCTCTGGATGCTTGTTGTGAGTTTCCTTTGTGTCTAGAATCTAGATTTGACCTCCTTTTGAATCGAGATTCATTCTTACCAGAAAGCTGGCGTTAGTATTATTATCTATTTACACCTAATGCTTCTTCTTCTGAGAAAGAAAGATTCAGGCCCTTGCAGTGGACATCCCTGCAAAAGTTGGTTTCTCTAGAAGAAATGGTAGATGATCCGAGCCTTCTGGTACTTCTTTTCTTAAGGCTTTGTGCTTCTAGAACGAATTATGATTTACACTTCCAATACCAGGAGCATCCTCTTGATGTTATTGTCATTGGCCAGGCTATTTTGGAAGGCTTCTTCATTATGCGAAGATGATGTTGCTCCTCTTCTGGCATGCAGTAACAATCCAAATGGATTATCAGCTGCCTACTGCTCCGGTCTGAAAAGAGGAAAGTAAAGCAGGAGAGCACTTCCAAACACACACCTTTGGTAGTAGCACAGACTGGTATTTCTGTTCCAGTCAACTGCTGTGCAGGTATCTGATGTTCTCTTTGCATTCAGAGCACAGTTCTTGAACCATCCATAGCTTGTCCAGTCTTTGGTATAGGGCATTGGTGCAGTCATATATTTGCACAATAGGATTCTGATCCTCTGCCACAATTCCATGGCAGGGCAACAGCTGAGAGTCACCATCTGTGAGAATGTACACGTGGACTCATTTAAAGAGAGCTTTCTTGCCAGGCATCGCTGTTCTTCATGAAGTGTAGTCCACATGTACATTCCTGTCCCATCTGCCTTTCCCTTCTCTCTAATTCTTTTTCAGATGCGATGCTGTTGAGACAGACTGAAATGGTGGTAGATGCACTCTCTTGTATATCACACACGAAGCAGAAAAAGAAGAGAAGCAAGAGTATACACTCTGCAGATACTGCAAGAGGAAAACCTTGCAGTATCACTTGGCAGGGCACAACTATGCTGTTAGAATGTACATGTAGACTACATATATCACACACTGGTTACTGGTAAGTATTGTCTTTTGACTTGATCAGGATGATAGGGTCGTTCCCAGGCTTCATGGTTGGATTATCTTTTTAAAGCTGTAGGCTGGTCTTGTTTCTTCCAGTTATTAATAGTTTACTCTGCAGCACTGCTTTAACTATTCTGGATAATTTGAGTTAATCTTAAAACTGCTTCGTGCAGTAATGCTTACTGTGTTTCAGTTTACCAGGAATTTTTAAACTTTTTCTTTTATTCTCCTCCAAAATTGCAGATTAAGTCGGTGCAGACCAAATTATGAACTGATGCTTTGTACTGTATAATTTAATTCCAAGTTTCTAGTTCATGCACATCATTTTCAACAACTCTTCTTCTGCTTCAGGCTTGGCCCTTTTCTAGAATTCTGGAGTATCTCCTTATTTAGTCATCAAAGGTTATCACTACATGGTCCTGAATACAATAAATGGTGGTGGGTGGTTTTTTTTGGTTTTTTTTTGTTTTTGTTTTTTTTAATTGGCAACTTATGGATAGACAACTATGAATTACTATCTGTCATGTTCAAGGTACAAAGACTTGAACACCCCACAGACATTATCTAGGAGCCCATTCTGCCAACAGGTTCTTGGTTCCTGGGTGCAGCAGAGCTGACTATCGCTGTCAGATGAAATGTGCCGCTTTCTGTTGGTGACTTCTCTTGGTGCTTATTAATGGTGGCAAAAGTAAGGGCTATTGTTTATTGCTTAAGGCTAACCAAGTTAGAATATAGTAACACACTCTTTCATAATAGCTACTGTTAGCCTTATCTGAGTTCTAATCTGAGATATGTTCCAGTGACAAAACATTCAAAAAGATTGTGATATTAATAGGTCATCTAAATAAATCTCTCATACTCTGGGCTCTCCTGGTCAGGCAGGAGAGAGGAGGAGCAGGAGGGAGTACATGTACATGACCATAAAGAGCTCTGAGAGCCTAAGTTGGAGGGAGGTGCAATGCAAAAGGGAAGAGAATTGATTTAAGGCATAGTTTCTGCTTTTAAAGACTCCCTTTACTTGGTATTGAGCCAGATAGGCCACTCTTACCTCTTAACATCTAAGTGCAGAGTAAATTACATTACTCCATCATGCCTTTTCTCTCCTTATCTTTTTTCCCTTCTTTTTGGGGCTGGGAAAAGAAAATCCAGACTGGTATAAGCAAGGGGTTTGGTTAGGTAGAGAAACTTCTAAAAGAGCAGTGGCATCAGAAAGCAAAGACCAGTGTCATGAGACAGTATTCTCTAAATGAGCTGAGCGTTTTCTGATGGTCTTTGTTTGAAAACAGGAAAGAGAATAGGTAGTTATGGGAGTTTGTTTAGAAAGGGATTCTGCTGGTTAGTGTGAGATGTGCTTTCCTATAACATGGTCTCCAAATAACTTTTGGAAGATGGACATGCTTTAAAGGAAGATAAGACAGTCTAGAAAAAAAATCATTGGCCTAGCAGTAGAGAAATAAAATTACTTAATCTCCTCATTTCTAAATATTTTTCATGTAACTGAAAGGATGATGTTATGAATACCAATGTGTGCAATAATAAAATAGAAGGAATTGTAAGTTTGTAATTGGTATCTATGTTTTCCAACTTTATTCTTGTTTACTACTATGTTTGATAACCATTTGCCTTTACACTGAAAAAACAATCATTCTAGTTTTGGCTTGAGTTGCAAATGAGGTATCTAGGCTGTGTAACACTAGAAAAAATGCACTTGGGAACTTGCTTCCTTATCTAATCTTGGAGAATACATTACACAGGCTGTCAGAAAGACAGATAAATCTTTGTTGCATGCTGTGTTCTTGGTATAGTTAATAGGTAATTGCTATCAAAATCTTATCATTTGTAAATCAATCTGTGTGAGTTATTGAAACATTTCTGGTTTGTGGTTCTACTGCCTTTTCTCTTCACCTTTTAGCAAACGTTTGTGTTGTGAAGGTGGATGGAACTCCTTATCTGTGCAAAGCTGATGAGGTTGGAGAAATCTGTGTGAATTCAGGTGCGACCGGCATGGCGTATTTTGGCCTCCTCGGAATCACTAAGAATGTCTTTGAGGTTGGTATTTCTGTATTTGCTTTCACTGATACAGCTTTAGTATTTCTTCTTGCCAATAAACTTTTACAAACTTAAGACTACTCAAGTGCAGCACTTTTATTAGCTTATGAGCAAACAGGTGAGAAACTTGAGGTAGTGGGATAGTCAGGAAAGTAAACAGCAAGGTGAGCAGATGAGAAGAAGTTGCTGGTGAACTTGCTGTTCGTATCCTGGTGCTCTGTGGTAGACTGCTCCAGAACTGCAGCAAATCTAACCTTCCCCAAATCTGACTAGTGCCACATTTGTCACAATTGAGGTGATTATACTTAGATACCTGAGGGCAGCATTAACAGGAGTAACAGCCTTTCTGATTAAGTGCTGCAGTAGTATAGAATATAATAGCATATTTAAAAAGTGGTATGGCATCTTGTTATGAAGGTTAAGTAAAAGAAGGATAGGATAGAAGTTTGGTGTAGGGTTGTGAATCGGTGTGTTCTTCATTATTCATAAAACCCTTGTTCCTGCTAGCCATGGAAGTACATGCTGACATCAATTGGGTAACTCTTCAAAGGAAGGCAGAGCTGCAGTGAAGCAGAGGCAGAGAAAGCATTTGAACTTTGCTTTTTTTATTACTATGAGTGTTTGAAAACATTTTCTGTGTGCTTTTAGGCAATTCCAGTGACAGCAGCCGGTGTGCCTGTTTCAGATCAACCTTTTACAAGAACAGGATTGCTAGGCTTTGTTGGTCCAGTAAGTATAAATGAGCCACATTGGCCCAAAACTTTGTCCTGACTCCCAATGTGAAGACCCAAGTGAACTGGCACTGTGAAGAAGTGTTAGGAGGCTTTGGGGAAACAGAATAGAAGGCTGCTAGGTAGCTTGCAGGTGAAATGATGCTAGAAGTGAAATAAGTAAGTATTCCTCGTCAAGCAATATTAGTAGATTGCTTTTCAATAACAATTAGTCCATGTCTTCTGACTTACACTCAGAGCCAGCTGCGAGGATACTGGCTCAAGTAGATGGTGTGCATGTCCTGCACTGAACAGCCTGTGTTAGGAGCTGTCCCCTTTGGGATCCCACATGCACTCGACCAAACTCAGGGTCACGGCTTCACATTGATCTCAAGAATATCATTGTGATTTAGTCAGGAACACATTGCCGGAGTTTGGGGGACTTCTTCCACCTGTTTATTCCTAATTCTGTCTCGTTCTCAGGACTACTTAGTGTTTGTGGTGGGAAAATTGGATGGCCTGATGACCGTGAGCGGCCGCAGGCACAATGCAGACGATGTGGTGGCCACTGCGTTGGCAGTAGAACCAATGAAGTTTGTCTACCGAGGAAGGTGGGTGTCTTGACATTTCACCACCATCAGTTCCTTTTTGTCCTTGTTTCATACACTGCACACATGCACCTGATCAAAGATGATCAGACTTGCAAATTCTGCATGTGAATTTTTGTATGTATATTTTACAGGAAAGGTGGCATAAGACAATATGCCATGTAAGAGAACTTTGCTGTCTGTGCTAACCCAGAAGGCAAAAATGAGCAACCTGATTTATACATACTACATTTTTGAATAATCTGAAGTTATTTTACTGTAGTGTAAACATAGATCTTTAAGCTTTTATTTCATTTTTTTTCAAAATGTTTCTCAAGACAGTCAAATGAATCTTGCTACAGAATATAAAGCATAAGTCCCTTTGCCTGCAAGTCCTTCTATTCAGAGTCCTTAGCAGGAAATCTCTGAAGCATATTCCAAAGAATGTGGGAGTGTTTTGAGACTTCTGGAAGACTTTCAAAGATACTGTTGTTTCACCACCCTTAATGCTCTTCTATTGAGGGTCATTCCGTTCAAGTGTTTTTTATTTCTTCTCCTGCACTAGCAGTGATGCAAGGAACTATTACTGACTTTAAAAGTCATGTTTTCCTCATTTTTGTATCACTTCTGCCATTCACTTAGCACAAATATTGTCATGTACCTGGTGGAGGCATTGTTAGTATTTTATCCCAGAAGTTGTAGGCTTAAGACATATTTAATACACTAAGGGGAGTATTTGCCAGTGCAACTATTGCAGGATAAAATATCCAGTAATATGGCACAGTTCTCTTACCTCCTTTCAGGATAGAGGGTGATAGGTAAGTGCATCAAATTTAGTGTGCATGATGGAGTTATATGGGAAAGATTTGCACAGTTCCTGCATGTACAGCACCTGCCTGTGTTAAACACATACATTAGTAACTACAAATTCACTTGACTTAAAAAGAAATAACAGTAACGAACCCACATTTGTCCTAAATTTGTCCATGGTTTTGTGATAATTTGGCATGAATAATGCTTGTGTCTGTTGAAACATAGTACCATTGAAGGCTTCGGTCATTTTCGCATTATAATAAGTCATGCTCTGTTCATCATATGTTGCATCCTATCATTCTTCTGTCCTTTGTGTTTTAGGATAGCAGTGTTTTCTGTGACCGTTTTGCATGATGATCGAATAGTGCTTGTGGCAGAGCAGCGCCCTGATGCGTCAGAGGAGGATAGTTTTCAGTGGATGAGCAGGGTGCTACAGGTAGTCAGATCTGTCCTTTCTCTCTTTGCAGGTGAATAAGGCTAATGTATGAAACAAGACTCTTAAAAGCTTTTTTTCTTCTTCTTCTATAAGACTAAACTCTCAGTATAACTGTAAACAGCTGTAATAAGCTGACTTCTGAAAATATTTCAGGGCTAAGAGTTAAAGTTTATAAAAAAGTAAGATTTTGTTTCAAAATGTTTGTGACTTTATATTGCTAAAATTCTTAAAGACGATAAGTGTGGAGGTGGGGGTGGTTTGGTTGGTTGTTTTAAAAAGAATTTCTGCTGCTGTCATACTGGCTGGGAGAATTAAGTGCCTGAAAACTTTTCAGGGAACGTTGTGCCTGGTATAAAAACTTACCCTAAAAACCCTTTTTTGTGGCGCCAACTTCCTCATTTTTGATCTCCAACAGTAAGCCCTGAAACTTATTTCCCTTGATTATGTCCTAGTGTTTCTTTGGCAGAGGGAGGAAGAAGTCTGGCAGCTGCATTTCAGACAGTGGAGGAGTTTTTTCCTCTGCCTGCCACTAACAAGAGCAGCTGCTTTGAGTAACTTTCCCCAGTAACATTTGAGGATTTCAGAATTAATCAATCTGTTCTAAGGAATGGACAAAGCAATTATGGCAGAAGAAGCAGATGAGGGAATTACCCAAGGGCGGATTAAGGAAAACACTGTAAAAGGAGATGCCTCTTAAGCAGAAGACAATTGTGTGCTAATGATTTTTATCTAATTTTGGTTTTGTAATCTTCGAGATTATACTTGGTTATAGAAAGGTTATAGAAAGACTGCCTTTCACAGTGGGAAAAAAAAAATCTATTCTTAGAAGCATCCTAGCTGAAATGGACACTAGGCTTCAGGCAACAAAATATTTTCCTCCCTATTTTTGTGGTTTTATGTTCTACTGCGCTTTTGTGATTGTGCCATACGTGCTAAATCTGCTGTGATATAGTTTTGGCTTATAAAAAAATCGCTCTGCACTTTTTGCCCACTTTTAAGAGACTTTCCTAATCCCTGATGTGCAGGTGGCATCCCCTTGGTAGAGTGCACAAGCAAAGTCCGGGGTCTGCTCCTGCTCCCATTGAAGTCATGGCACAACTTCTATGAGTTCAGTGAGTGCAGAATTGGACCCTTTATTTGCAAATTGTGGTGCAAGTAAAAATTTTAATGTTATTACCTGACTTGAATAAAGTTCTTGCATGAGCAACATCCCAGGTTATAATGTAGAATGTGTTTCTTTCCTTTCTGTCAAGGCAATTGATAGCATTCACCAAGTGGGCGTCTACTGTCTTGCCTTGGTGCCAGCCAACACTTTGCCAAAGGCTCCACTTGGAGGAATTCATATTTCAGAAACCAAGCAGCGGTTTTTAGAGGGTGCCCTGCACCCTTGCAATGTCTTAATGTGTCCGCATACTTGTGTAACTAACCTGCCCAAGCCTCGGCAGAAACAGCCAGGTGAGTGAACGCCAGCGTGTTGCTCAGTTCTGCGCACGGAGAGTGTGTGGAGAACGTGAACTAGAGGCACCACAGCAGCTCAGTGCTGCAGCTTTCAGCCTCCCACCATAGCAGAGCTAACAGGGTGGTCAGCACAGAGCTCAGCAAGGGCTCTAGGGCCTGCCTGGAGCTGTAGATAAATAGATGGATATTCGGCATGTACCACTTCCCTGCTTCTGTAGCTGTGTTGGTAACAGATCCTGTACTGGCCATCTTAAAAAGGCCAGTAATGTGTGGAAGTACAGACAGACCCAAATCAATAATTGACTATTTTAGTGTACTTTTTGTCTACTCTCTCTTGTTCCAACAGACGTTACTGACTTTTGGTTTTAGGGTGTTTTCTTTGGTTGGTTGGTTATTGTTTTCAGATCTAGATTGCATGTGTTGTTACAGTAACCTACAGTGTGGACTATCAATTAGTTTCTGTTCCTTAGATTTTATTTTTTTATCTCGCTGTGTGCCATTTTTATTTTTAAATACAGATGTTGGTCCTGCTTCAATGATAGTAGGAAACCTCGTTGCAGGAAAGAGAATTGCACAGGCCTCAGGGAGAGATGTTACCCAGTTGGAAGATAATGACCAAGCAAGAAAGGTAACGCTGACTTCTGGTGGTATTAAATAATTGAATGGGCCTGTTCAAGGCGAGACAAGGGCAGTTTGGGTATTCTGGTGAAACTGAGAATGATACGTTTTGAATGAGTGAATCTTGAGTGTGTGTTTTTGTTTGCTTGTTTTTCTTTCTATTTCAGTTCCTGTATTTAGCAGACGTCCTTCAGTGGCGAGCCCAGACAACTCCGGACCATCCTCTCTTCCTGTTGTTAAATTCCAAGGTGAGATGCAATTTAGGTCTTATTTTAAGATCAGTATATGATTGCTTAGATTCTAAGAAAGTAACAAATAAGAAACTTTCCCTGGAAATATGTCAGAATTTTATTGACAGCATGGGATTTCATTATTTTGAAGCGGACAAAAGTTATTACTAATTAGCAAGCAGTTTTCTCTCTGTGGAAATGTAGGTGTTGTTCTTGGCGTGCAAGGCTTTAGCTCACAGGCCTTTGCACGCTTCAGCAACAGCTTTCCTCATAAAACTGAGCCAGGGTACTGGAACCATTCCATACCACACTAGGTCTTGGATGAGACAGCTGAAAGCCTAGACTGAGGATTCCACTGTTTCATCTTAGTTTATCTTAGACTTACAACTCGATACTTGTAGGACATTTTCTGTGTGTACTACAGGAGGGTTGATTCAGTCTGTAAATGTTTGTTCCACTCTCTTGAGGTGGTGATTGCCGCAGTGCTTCTTGACCTTGCTTGTATTCTTGGAAATGGATATAGCCTTCAGGCTGAGGCATCACCTAGGGTGGATAGCAAAACGAGCTTTTCTGTCTTGGCATGAAAATAATTAAAGATTTTGTGCTATCTCTGCCTTTTTTTGTGTGTGTGTGCAAGTCCTTAAGGGAAAAAAAAATAGATACAGATATTTCCAGGTGAAGATTTTCTGAATTATGTATTTGTGGGAAATCCACTTCCTGCATGACAGGTAAATACACTGAAGCAGAAATCCCAGTGCATACAAACCAGAGCTCAGGTTGCCTCTTTGACCTTTTAAAAGCACATTTGTACCAAAGACAGCATCAGAATCCCTTCATACTTTTAAAACTGCTTGCAAAGGCATCTAGATATCTGGCTGACCTAGGTAGGGTAATTCCATAATCCTTACTTGCCTGGAAGATTTAGAAGTGTGCTTTAAGATAATCTACATCTGCGAGGGTTTATGGCTTAGTCATGCACTGTGTCATCCACCAGTCATCCAACCAGGAGAAATTTTAATGGGGCGGGGTGGAATAATTAATTGCCAAAACCTTTGAGCCTGTATATACCTGCCTTCCTCGCTGTCGTGGAAGCTATAGGCTGCTGTCAAGGGAACAACTCTTCCCCGCACTGTAAAACTTGTAATTGTTACCCTCATGAGAAGGGAATGAGAGATGGAGAAGCAGAAGTAATAAAGATCAGTAAGAAAGGTAACGTTGCCAGTGTAGCATAGACGGGTTGTCAAGTGCTTTACGAGTTTTCCGTAGCGTAGTACCATTCTCATAGTACCAAGTTCATTTAGAAACAGCTTCACTGACTGAAGCTTGAGCTTGTCTATACAAAAATCTCTAGTATTCTCAGCTCCTGGAAGGATCAGCATAGTTTCTGAAACGCGTGTAATTTGAATCTTTCAAATTGTTTGCCCCGTTGTTAAAAATAACCAACTTATATTGGACCAGCAGCAAATAGGTTTTCCATTTCTAAGTGATCACTGCAATGTTTTCCCAAGTTGCTTCTGTTCTGTGCAGGGCACTGTAGCTAGCACTGCCTCTTGCATACAGCTGCACAAGAGAGCAGAGAGAGTGGCCGTTGCACTGATGGAGAAAGGACGACTGAATGTTGGTGACCACGTAGCCCTGGTTTATCCTCCAGGTAAGGCAGTGCGGACAGCCAAAATCATCACGTTAGGCACCACAGGAAACAAAAGGTGAATCTTGCCAAAGTAGAGCATTCAAATGTCTATTTAATGTGGTACTATATGCCCAGAACTTACTATGATGAAAAGGAGGAGCTTTCTCTTTATCCTTGTTACTAAATTGTTTCTCCAGATGACAAACTAAAATCACCAAAACATATTTAATCTTGGCCCTTCCAGATGTCGGGACAGTTATTAAAAAAATAGTTTGATTTAAGGTACCTGAAAGATTTTGGGTTTTCAGCCTCAGAAAAGGAAATAAACCTGTGCCTGTACCCATGGAAAATGGGATTAGGAAGTGGTCAGTTTTAATCTTTATTTGAACTTCCTGAATGGTTATTGCTAGAAGTGAAATTTGAACCTCAGACTTTATATTACTGCTGTGAGCTTACAGGTGTGCAACAAGAAAAACATAATACCCTAAGGAAGTAGGGTAATTGCATATTTCATAGTGATAATTGTGAAAAGCAAATGTAACATTTTAAATCTTATTTGCCATCTTTGTGACCTATAATACCCCGAGGTTTTAATTTTTTTTATAATTGTTTTCTACTGTCTGTGCAAGGATATTTTACAAACTTAAAGGCTTTGAATAATTCCTGCCATCTCCCAGATGGTTCTGCCTTGTAGAACTAAGAGCAGCCCATTGCTTTGAAAAGAACTTGGTAAACAAGACTTTTTTTCTGTGCATTTAGATTTTCATGGAAGGGATGGGCCTTTTGTTATAACATTGCTCTAATTTAATAAATATCCTTTGCAGGAGTAGACCTAATAGCAACTTTCTATGGTTGCTTATATGCTGGATGTATTCCTATCACCGTTCGCCCTCCTCATCCACAGAATCTTGCTACTACTCTGCCCACTGTCAAAATGATTGTAGAGGTAGGTATATAGGCATTTTTTTTTAATTATTTTAAGGCTCATGATTGTTGATACAACTAGTAACACTGCTTGACAAATTGTTTTGCCTTAGGACAAAATAACCTTGAAAAGAAGTAGTATACTAATAAATACTTTTTAAGCTGGTTTGAAATGTGAAATGTTCTGTTGTTGTTATTTATTTGTTTTATTTTAAATATTTTCTTTGACTTCGGATTATTCTTTATCTGCTGTGGATGGATATGAAATATTTTTAATCCTGTCTTTTTACAGGTCAGTAAATCTGCATGTATACTCACCACACAAGCAATAATGAAACTGCTGAAGTCTAAGGAAGCTGCAACAGCTGTAGATATTAAAACGTGGCCCACTATTCTGGATACAGGTACAAACTGTTTACTCACTAAGATAAAGGATAATTAGATAGTAGACTGAATTGTTTATCTTGCTAGAACATAGCTGGCTGACTGGATGGATGTTTCTTGCTTTGCATCAGTGTGTCTGCCTATTACTGGAAAATATCCTGTGTTAATGCTTTAAAGATATTGTTGTGCTCTTATTCCAAGATAATAATATGATACCTCTTTTTTTGTTATATACTTTAAATAGATGATATGCCCAAAAAGAAGCTGGCTAATATTTTTAGACCTCCATCTCCAGATACGTTGGCATACTTGGACTTCAGTGTGTCTACTACTGGCATATTAGCAGGAGTAAAGGTAGAGTAATAGAACAGATATTGATACATTTAATTTTCTAATGTGTAGGTGTGTTCTGTATTTATCCCATCCTGCCAGACAAAAAAGTATAAAATGTATTTTTAAAAAGGTCTCACTGTTTTAAAGGTTTATTTTCAAGCTTTCTCGACAATAAATTTCTTGATGCATTTTTGAAAGAATTCAGTCATATATCTGAACAGGCACTGAGGGTGTGAAGGGACAGTGTTTGTGCTAAAGTCCATGAATGCCCCTTTATGTTAGGGCCTCCTCTGATGGACTGAAAAGCATCTAAGCAATTTGGGGTTATTATCCCTTTCGTGTTTTAAAAGTGCTTCAAAATCATTACATATTGCTGTATCTTAATAAATCTTTCTATCCATTATTAAATGTGAAACCTTTTCATTAGGTTGGTCTTGAGAGGGCCTGTCTTTCTCTTGCAGATGTCACACGCAGCTACAAGTGCCTTATGTCGCTCGATAAAACTGCAGTGCGAGCTCTACCCTTCACGTCAAATCGCCATCTGCCTTGACCCTTACTGTGGCTTGGGCTTTGCACTGTGGTGCCTGTGCAGGTATGTTGCCTAAACATGAGGTTTACTCGCACATCCTGGCATCCTCTTCCTTGCTCTGGAGATTGAATGACCAGGATTGAATTAAACTGCTGTGTCTGATGTGTGTTGCATGAAAGCAAAGAGCTAACTTCAGTAATGCTTGATAATTTACAGCATCAGTAAGCAAGACAGGGTGAAGGGAAAAGGCAACTTCAGTGATGGAGGAGCTAAAATCTGAAGCTGTGTGCATATAAAGGCAGTGTATCAATTCAGCACCATTTATTGGGGGGGCCTGTCTATGTGTGCCTTAAAGTCTGTTGCTATAACTTGTAGCCAGCTAATCAATTTGAAATCAGAGTGAGATACTTGCTTTTTATATAGAAAGGAAAAATTCAAATAGCGTTTTTTAATATTCTTTTATTTCATTTTGACTCTCTGTAGCTTTTTAGCTTTTTTAATAATGGCTTGAAGTTTTGTGTGTGTGTTTCTTCCACCCTAGCGTGTATTCAGGTCATCAGTCTATTCTAGTCCCCCCTCTTGAGCTGGAGAGCAACGTGTCCCTGTGGTTGTCTGCTGTAAGCCAGTATAAAGTGCGTGTCACCTTCTGCTCTTATTCAGTGATGGAGATGTGCACCAGGGGGCTTGGGACACAGACTGATATGCTGCGGGTAGGACCTCCTAATTTTTTTTAACACACTAACCTATATAATGTATCATATAATGTATTTCTATCTATATGACATACCATGTATTTTTTTTAAAATTACTGCTCTTTAATTTGTATAAGATGGACTTCTTTGCTTCTTTGAAAGCCTTTTGGGATTGCTTTTGGCAAGGACCAAGCGTATCTGTACGGTGTGGACAGTCAAGGCCTTGAGGGAGGAGGTTCTGTGAGCCAGCCTCGTGGTGCAGCCTTTTCTGCAAGGCAAACTTGTTGCTGAGTCTTGACCACAGGAAGAAGAGCGATGAGGATGATGATGTTCTGACTTCTTTTTTTTTTAATGTTTGTATTTATTTGTGCTGTTTCCTCCAGGAAAGCAGTTGCTCTAGTGTTAACTAAAGTCAGTCTGTCCTTCAAATCCAAATGACCTAGAAGTTTTCTAGAAATGCTGACTTTTTTTTTTCAATTTGTTTTTCTTTACCAAATCTCTCAAACAGATGAAAGGAGTTAACCTGTCCTGTGTGCGAACGTGCATGGTGGTTGCAGAGGAGAGACCAAGGATTACATTAACACAGTCTTTCTCAAAGTTGTTTAAAGACTTGGGCCTCTCTGCTCGGGCAGTGAGCACTACGTTTGGGTGCCGGGTCAATGTAGCAATTTGCTTACAGGTGAGATTAAACTGCTTATTCCTTCCATGTAACCACAGTGTATCTCACACCTTTACAGGAATGCATATCCAGTTGTGTGTAGTTTTTTTCCTGCTGAACATTATAAGCTGCAGCCACGTTAAGTGCTCTCTTCTCAAGTTGAACAAGCCCTGAAAATCTTGGCATGCTTGTGGTGAGGAGTGTGAGTTACCACAGTTGCTCCTTTTTATATTAATTGAGCAGTTGAGATGCCTCTTTAATATGGAGGATCAACGTTAGGAAAATTGTTTCCTTCTGACTGTGAAGGAGCAGTATTAAATTAAATACAAATCTTACTGATAAGCATCTTGAATATTTCAATCAATGCGATTTCAGCTTTCCTGCAATTCAGATCTTGCCTATTGGAAAATTGTTTGTTTGGAGTTAAATGAAGGTTGGAGTTCTTCAAATAAAAGCTTTGTGTTAAATACCAATGAAAATTGACAAGCTTGGTGGGTTTGTTTGTTTTAAAGCTCTCAAATCAGCATTGTCGTCATGCAGATATGTTTGTCTCGCTTCATGCGAGATTTAGACTTCTTGCAATTAAGGACTTCTTTCAGTTAAAAATAAAATTAGAAGCTTTGAGGAGGACAATATATGACTGACATCAGTCTTTCATGGGTAATTTAACTAGATTTACACCTAACTTCTTAAATTGATATTTTTCTTCCCTAGTTAGAAAAAACTAAATTGTGCATACCATAACTTGCCTCAAATTAAGAGTATAGTGTAGAAATTGTAAAGTGCCCCCTATTTTTGGACTGTGCTTGAGCTGATAAATAAGCTGCTCAGGTTGCGAATGTGCCAGCACCTACTGCTTTATATATGAGGAGTTTCATAGGTGTCACATGTATTAAGTATGCACATAATTGTAAATTCTATTTTCAGACAACTAAATGAACATGAACTGAATTTTGGTCCAGTTCACGCTCACTGGTGCAAGCTGGCTGAACCAGCTAGTCTGTAGAGATCACTACGGTGCTGTTATAAAGCACACTATACACAGTATAAAATGCATGGAAAAAATAAGAAGAAATTAAGAATGCCGTGTAGAAAGATTTCAAGTTCATTGGATACAGCATTTCAGATGCCAGTGCCAAAGAGCAGTTTTCGGAATATCCTTTTTAAATAAGGATTTAGAAAGCCAATTCTGAGTACCCATTGCCCAACATAAGTGAGAAGAGATCACCTTAGGGCCGGATAAAGAGGATAAAGAGCTTTTGCTGCAGCCAAACGTGGAAGGATGTAACTATCAAGAGCAGCCTTCGGAATGTAGGAGAAAATACATGTAGTAACGTCCTGCTGGCAGCTTCTTCTGTCAGGAGCTCCTTCAGATAACATAGGCAAATATGAGAAATACTCAATCTCTTTTTACTGTGGAACACTGTTTTATGCTAAGTAAATAGCACCTAAATTTTCCCAGGATGTCAAATGCAGTTATAAGATGACAGTGTGAAAAATACTTCAGGAAACTGTCAAGAATGCACTGCTGTTGGACAGTTAAGCTTCCCCCTCATTTTATACCTTTTTCTTCTCTGTTTACTAGCCTTGAATAGCCTTCTTTTAGTTTTGTTTTCCTTCTTTAACTCATTTCTCCAAAATAAAGCCTGTATTTGACATTGTAAGAGTGAATATAGATTAGTAACCAAACTGAATAAATACATGATAGAAGTTAGCATGCAAATAAAAGCATAATATCTTCCGACTTCAATGGACTGATTTACTGAAAAGATATTTCTGAAATTATAAAGCAGCCTTTAGATAGTTTGAGATAGAAGAGGGAGCTAAGATACAGAAATAGGCGTTACATATTTGCTTGAATTTCTGGCTTCTGATTTATTTTGCGAGTCCTGCATGTTTCCTGCTTAAAACTGCTTAAAACTGCTGGACTCTTGAGTAATACGAAATGGGAATATTCTTTTCACCCTAAAACAGTACGAGCTTTTTTTTTGTTGATCTTACTGTTTGTATCTCATGTCTCCAGTGCCTCTCTGTTTGTATTTTCTTTTTTTTTTTCCCCTTTCTCTCTGTTTCACTCACTTTGCTGGCCTCTGTCACTTCTGTTTGTGGTCCCTCTGTCAGCCAAACAGGCTGGGCAAGCTGGCTGAACAGGTATAGTGCTGCATGTGTGTGCTCGTTATGTCCTAAAGTCAGTGTTGTGCTACGGTGCTACTCTGTAATTAATGTGTCCCATAAAACGGAGTTTTCAGGTGAAAAGGATCAAGTAATGTTTTTTTCCTAAAGAAATGTGATTTAATTCATGAAAAACATTTGAAGTACACTTTCTCAAACAAGCAGAAACTGGGTATAGCAAGGATTAATACTAAAGAATGGAATATTCTTAAAGATCACACTATATTGATCTGGAATGGTTCTCAGTGACACTGAATACAGTGGTGCTGCAAAAGTATTAACTAATGCTACTAAAAAGACAGTGTTACTGTTCAGCACTGTAATCTTAAATTGCTGGCAAAGTGGCCTCATTTTGGCTATTTCTCCCTAAAATGAGAAGCTTGTTTCCCAGTGTGGGAGGGGGAGGATAAACATGGTTTGTCTGCCTATTTTTTTCAGCTAAAATTTAAATAGACATTTCACAGTAGTTTTTAGTTGCTTTGAGATTAAGTATTGATGTGGAAAATACCCTGTTCCTATGTGAGGAGGTGAACTTTTTTAGGAGTTTAATCTCTGATTGCAACCAAGATCTCTCTGTTTAGGCAGGAACTGGCAGGAGCCCTGGAAAGGTCTGATTGGGTAGGAGCTGTGTCTAAGTTAAATGGTTTTGCTTCTCCTCAAATAACAATTGGCAAAACTGTTACAAAGCAGAATGAGCACTGGGAAAGGGATTATGTGCCTGCATAGGGTGGTATTTACATCCTTTACATACTTGCTATGTAATCTTTAAAGACATGCATACCAAAACAAGCTTGGTGTACTTAAAAGTCTTACCTGTATAAATACCTGTTTCATGTGTGCATTCCTTTACTGGTTACCATAAAACATCAAAGTTTAATGGCAATTTGTTCTAAGGGGGCCATTTTCCTCTATTTCTAGTAGATTAGGGCAATCAGTTATAAGCACCAGTGAAGGAGGGAGAGGAATGTATGCAGTATGGATGTGAAAATGAAAACAGGATTTTCTGGCTTCTGTTCAATTTCTTTATTTGTATTCTTAGGGAACAGCAGGACCAGATCCAACAACAGTCTATGTAGATATGAGAGCACTTCGACATGACAGGTACAGATTATGTTAAAGTGTTATCTATTGATATATCTATAGAGGAGAAAATTCAGCCTTGTTGCACTGCATTGGTGAGTTAAAATACAGCTAATCCCACATTATCGTTTAGCAAAGATCCCCATCCTAGAGAATCTACCAATGACCACATTGTGTTGGAAGCTCTCCGCCACCCTCCACCTCACTTGTTCTGCTTCTCCTTTCTACACTGATACTTAACTGGCTGTCTATTCACCAAAATCACATGGAATCCAGATTCACTAACTGTTTCTTACCTAATGATACCTGTGAGCAAATGGTCACTTACCAGTTGGCTGATCGGGCAAAGAATCATGGAAAGATTTAGATGGGGAGGGATTTCTGGATGCTCCTCCTGCAACCTCCTGCTCAAGGCAGAGCCACCTTCCATGCTTGATCAGATTACTCTAGGGCAGGACCGGTTAAGTTTGGAAAATTTGCAAGGACAGACATTTTCCTCCTTTCTGGGCACCTCTCACAGAAGTTGTGCCCCCTCCTCTGGGGATTTTCCTTACTAGCATTTCCCTTCTAACCACTTATTTTCCTGGTCTGGTGTCCACTTGCTGCAGAATTCTGCCAAATCCGGCTCCATTTTCTGTGTAACCATCCTTTAGGTGGTGGAAAATTGCAGTTATATACCCCCTTAGGCTTACTTTTTCAGGCCAAACTAGCTAAATTCTTCAGTCTTTCCAGGTTTCTCTCAATGTCAGGTTTGCAATGTATCCTATCAGCTGCTTCCCCCATGTTGGTGTCTTCTGCAAACTTTTCTGGGATATTTTCTATCAGAGTTTATTCTGTAGTTGTGGTTTTTCTGTCATCTTGCCTCTTGGTTAACACAGCTGCTAGCAGTGACAGGTTTGGGCTTTAATTTTCATTTTCATTTAGGAAATGAATGTAGGATTCATTTATATATACATATATATGTGTGTGTGCGCACGTGTGTATGCATATATGCTTGTAGATATTTGTCTCTCTGGTTTCAGTGTTTATTTAAAGTAACAGAATGCCATTTTATAAAAAAATAAAAGAAAGGCACCAACTGTTGATAACATTAAATTAGTGGCTTCTATTAACCCCTGAAGCTTAAATGCTTTTGTGACTACTAATCTTCTGTATTTTGCATGCTTAAATATTGATTGTTTTAAGTCAGTTATTGAAAGGTCCTTCCTATGATCCTTATTTAACATTCATTCAAACAGATCTTTTTATTTTACTTTTTTTTTACTTATTAAATATATCATTATGATTTGCATGGGATATATTCTTGCTGTAGTTAAGCTGAGCTGTAGCTTCAAAGTTCCCACTGTGCTAGAGAAAATTCTAGCCTATGCCTGTTGGGGTAGCGTAATGCTTAATAATATATAAGGAGATAAAAGGAGCCTATTCTCATGTACATCTTCCCTGCTGCATTCCTGCCTCTTTGGCTCCTGCTGTCTTTGACACTGTTTAAGTCATGTCATTAATGAACTCCCTAGTATCACTTGATTCTGTTTAGGCTGGCTTGCTCTTCACAGCTAGCAATTCTGAGACTGTCATGGTTCAGTGTGGACAGCAGGGGAGTCTAATACTGATGGTGAATTTAAAATACAGGTTGAACTACTACCTTGGAGCTCTCTTGGAATGTCACTTATCCCTCCAGAGGGATGAATTTCCCTTTCTTGCAAGAAATGTGATATATGGCAACCCTGACATGGAGGTCCTGAAGTCATCTAGAAGCAGTTTTAACTGTCTTACTGTATCATCAATAACAGAGCACAAACAGCTGCCACCCTAACAGCTTGGCCAATGCAGCTAAGGGAAAAGATAGCAGTGATACACTGGAGTACACTTCATTACACTTCATAAATCTTTGTACAAATTTCTCCTTTCATTTTTTCAGGGTACGCTTGGTAGAGAGAGGCTCTCCACACAGCCTGCCGCTTATGGAGTCTGGGAAGGTGAGAGATTTGGAGAGCATTAAAGCAGAATCAAACTGTCTCCCAAGTTGATTTATTTTTGCACCAGATAGTCCTGTCCCCTCTTTAGTGTTATCTGTGTGCCGAGCAGCTTCTGTTGGAGCTCAGCACTGAATCTGTGCAGTGAGAGGCTGTATATGCTTTACTAACCCCAGTGCATCTGGGAGAGCCTCTGGAGAGAGGGAGCTTCAAAGGAGCAGCTAGTTAAAATGAAGCAAAGCTCCTAAAGTGAAGTACCAGGATGTGGTATAGATACAGCTGGAAAAACCACAGGCCTTCACACAGGAGGCAATTTTCAGTTGTGAAATGGAGAAATCAACTTCAAAGCTTAAGTACAAGCTGCATACAGCTGCTTGATGTTTAAATGATTAGGTGTCTCTTTGAGGAAAAGACAGTATCTATAGAGGGGAGCAGAAAACGAAGAGCTGTGGGGAGTGCTGGCTGCTATGGCACTGCATTATTAACTTGTCTTCCCTTCAGCTAATTTTTTAATTTTTATTTTCTAATCGTGTGCTTCCTGTTGCAGATTCTTCCAGGAGTAAAAGTTATCATAGCGCACACAGAAACCAAGGGACCTCTGGGAGACTCACATTTAGGAGAGGTAAAGTGTTGCAGCTCTGGTCCTTTGTTTATCAGCAGTGATGTAATATATACATGAATCACACAGGTAAATGCCTGTCTGTTAGTGGGATAACAATGATGACCTTACTGTGACAAGCAATTGAATGACACGGAGCTGAAACCATCACAACATTGGACTCTCCTATGAATGTCTGCAGAGTTTGCTCCTCCTCTGCCAAGATTTTGCATGCCAAGTGTGCTACCAGCTGATTAGTCTGTATCTGAATGGCAGCTAGAAGATGCAGTGAATTTCTTGCTGTCATTATATACTCCATCAGTGCAGAGTAGCGCTGAGATAATTTGCTGCTTGGTTTAATCTCCATTCTATATGCATTTGGATTTGAGTGTATTAAGATCTTCTATTAATAGAAGATCTTTGATTAAAAAAGAAAGACTTTCTGAAGAGTCAAACTCCCATTTTAGTTCCTTTTTCCTAGTCATTTTCTCAAATGAGAACAAAAGTTACTTAGTGACTCTTATAACTTCTGCCATTTTAGGGACAGCAAAATTGTCAATGGAACAGATTTTCTTAAATGAAAAAATTATGCTGCCCGGATCTGTCAAAATAACCTATATTTATATGGGAATAGCTCTCTCCTGACATCTTTTTTTTTTATTCCCTAGATATGGGTGAGTAGTCCACATAATGCTACGGGTTACTACACCGTGTATGGAGAGGAGGCACTGCACGCTGATCACTTTACTGCCCGCTTGAGTTTCGGAGACACTCAGACCGTGTGGGCACGGACTGGGTACCTTGGCTTTCTGCGCAGAACAGAACTTACTGATGCTAGTGGAGGTGAGAAAACGTTACAAAAACTGAAGCATTTGTCATATTTCTTTGGGGTAGCTGAGCTAGCAAAGAGTAAGGCATCCTGCAAGTTCTTACAGACTTCTGTAAGAGATGGGTGCTGAAGGTAAGAGGAATGTTTTCTTACTCTGTATATATTCATTGTTTATAATGATACTGGATGATTGTGCAAAATGGGTAATTCATAATGGTCTTTTTATAGTTTTAGGATTTATCATTCATTATACAAGATAGAAAAACAGTGTTTCCATTTCTGCAGTATTTCCACAGTTGTCTGTGAGATAACGGAGATAACAGGGGTGAGAGATAAGCCCAGGCCTAATAGCTGGTAGATCATCCAGTCAGGCTGCTTTCAGCTTTCCTTGCTTTCCCTGCTCGGATTTTCCTGGGCCAGTTGTTAACCTCCTGTGCACGTTGTACCACTGTTCAGCACAGGCTTCTGCATAGGCCATTTTGGCAGAATTGTCCTGTGATCGCTGTTCAAGATGAAATGGCTCCCTCTGCTTGGGAGAGCTGGTAGCTTACAGAAGTGAGAATCTCTGAGCACACTCACAAAAAAGGAGTTATAGATGGCAAGGAAGCAGATGAATGTAGTAGCTTTTTGTACCTTGTAGCTTTTTCAGAAATCATTTATTAAAGATTTCTTACTCTGTAGAATACCAGTAGAGACCATGTATGATAATGATTTGCAAATATGCTTGCAGTGACTTCCTAGTATGCTTTTAATTAGTTATGTTAGTTATACAATTGAGGAGGTTTCTAAAATAGGTGCAGGAAAAAAAGTGAATCCCAACAGAATCAAGCTATAGAAGAAAGAGTGCAATGTGGAGTGCAGGTCCTGCAGGAGGGGTCTGGGAGAGCTTCTCCCATTTAACCTAGTGCAACCAAGGTGCAAGAGGGAACAGAATTGTTCTCTCTGCAGTAATGCTGGGGAGCTTAAGTGCAGAAGAACGTTGTTGGCATAAGGACAAGTGGATAGAAGCAGGTAAAAAGGGAATTAAATTTGAAAATTGGAAAAACCTCCCATCCATACAAGGAGAGAGATTCTTCAATGAGAACTGATGGACAAAAAAAGATGCTTTAACAGTGCATTTTGCTTGACTTTATGAATGGAAAAAGCTTTTATGTTTTGTATGTAACAGAGGGGACCAAACTGAATGACCCCCAAATTCTTTTTGTTCTGATTTCCCTTGCTTTTTAAGCCAGTGGAAGGAAATGCTAACTGAGCTGTTAATGGTTTTCTTTCCAAATGATAGAGCTGAGGTGCATTACATACTGTTTCTCTCAAGAAGCACCGAGAAATTCATAGGAACTGCTGGGATCAAACAGGTACAAGTGAAGATGTCTCTTCTCTAGGCCTGATGATATTTTGAGCGTCTGTGCTGTGTTTCAGAGCGGCACGATGCCCTGTACGTGGTAGGCTCTTTGGATGAAACACTGGAGCTCAGAGGAATGAGGTATCATCCCATTGATATAGAGACCTCTGTAATAAGAGCACATAAGAGCATTGCAGAATGGTAAGTGACTCGATGATTCTCTCTATCCTTTTATGTCTTCTGAAGCACTAGAAGTCACGTTCTTGCAGAAGAGCATGCTAGCTTGAGAGCTTGCTTTAAAGATTGAATTTATCAGGCTTTGCTTTATGAACTACTGCTGTTGGAGTAACTGAAATACTGAGCCTCGCCTCCTTCCCACACCTCCACTCAAAAAATGAAACCCTTTATCAGAGTTTGATTTTCATAGTCTGAGAGATGGAGAGGGCAGCATGTCAGCAAGGTAGCAGGGCACTTCAGCATGGTGCGGTGGTTGTCCCTGGCTGTAGAGTGAATACCCTTGGCTGTGGTGTAGGCATCTCGGGGATGTTGTAAATGATGTGTTCTCTCACAATTAATCTTTGTATCAACCCAACAGTGCTGTATTTACATGGACCAACCTGCTTGTGGTGGTTGTGGAACTGGAAGGCTCCGAGCAAGAAGCATTGGACTTGGTTGCACTGGTGACAAATGTGGTCCTCGAAGAGCATTATCTTATAGTCGGTGTTGTAGTCATTGTGGACCCTGGTGTTATTCCTATCAATTCCCGTGGGGAAAAGCAGCGAATGCACTTGAGAGATGGATTCTTGGCTGACCAGCTGGATCCTATTTACGTTGCCTACAACATGTGAAAACACAAAATCGCACCAAGGCTAAAGCACCAAATCTAGAGACTTTCTGAATAGCATCTGAATCAGTTTGTGTTTTTAAAAGCTTTTGAAGACCGCAGGAAAATGGAGATATTCACCTTCACGAACCTTCATCTCTCAGACTGTGTTTGCTTTCGTAAATCCATTGCAACAGTTACAGCTGTCTTAGGATGGAGAATTTACTGGAATTCCTGAAGGAAATTGAGCAGAACTATCATGGACCAATTTTTTTACAATAATTATGAATGTCAATACCTTGATGCACTGCATAAAAGGACAAAAAGTGGGGTGGGGAGAGAGCACCAGCTGTGAGGAGGACTCTTGCAAGTAATACTGAAAGTTGTGGGTAGCCATTTGGAGCTAACTCTCCATGTGCTTGTCTGCCATATATTGGTGGTAACTGTGCTGGCACATAACTTTCAAGATTGCACGCATCTCTGCCAGATTCTCTACTGTACTGAAAGGAATTTGCACATACTTGAGGTTTAAAAAATGCAGCGTTTAATTTTAAATCACTGACTCATCCTCATTCAGAAGGAAACAATTCATTCCAATCCTGGATTCAATATTGCAACAATTATGCTGCTGTTCAGCCTTTTCGTACCAAGCAAAAACAAATACTGCATCTGTAACACGGTTACTTACAGTGCCATGCTGGACTCTGTCATGCTATAAACTTTGTAAGAAAATATAAATATCTAGTTTTAACTACTTGATGCAGGAGGCTTATATGTTCTTGCTCTCATAACTTCATGTTAAATAGTAAAGTTGCTTGTTTTCATAGCATTAAGCTGTTAATTACTGCCCTACGTAAAGCCAAGTTTTTCAAAACTTCATTCCAAAGTCAATAGTCTCTGAATCACTGGTAGAACTGTCTACAAAGCATGATCTTGCAATATGTTTTCCCTGAATATCCTGTGCTAAAACCTATATAATAGTGACTTTTTCCACCATGGAAAAGATATTCAGTGTTAGTGTTAGCTGGATTTGCTGTGGTACAAACTTTCATCTTTTAGTTGTATGTAGATAGAGTTTTTATTCAAGCTGAAATTGGTAGAGTCACCTTTGACTAATTAAGCTTTTGAAATTTCTGCCTGATCTTACACTACAGTAAACCTAATTCAGAAAGAGAATATGAAATTATTCAATTACTACTTGTGTTTGAAAAGAAGCACGAGTCTAGCAAATAACTATTTTTATAGAGCTAATAAAGAGTTTAAGCTATTTGATTTTTTTTTAATAATAATGCATGAATTTGGCAAAACAGCCACCTTTTTTTGCAAGGCAATTCTGCCTGGATCAGTGCCTAAGAAAGATGGATGTTAGTCCCATGAGAGGAGGACATCAAATGGCTCTTGCTCAAATAAACTATCTTCAACAGCAGCAACAAAAAAGCTTTCATATATAGTAATTCTTTGCCCTCATGGTGTTTAACTGTGGTGTATTATACAGCTACGTATCTTGAAACTCTTCACTGTAATTATGTACAGAACTTGTGTAACTTATTGTTTTAAGTACAGTGACCTTAAGCAGTGGACTACAAGACACTCCTCAGAACAGCTGGCAAAAGGAAAGAGCTACCTAACCCCAATTTTAATGTTGTAGTTTTTTTAGCGAATAAAGCATTGTACTTTTTTTTTTTATTGAGATATTGGTGACAGTGAGACAAGTTGCCTTGTAAAGTAAAATTTAAATTTAAAAACAAAAAAAAAGCACATTAAACATTTCAAAACTGCTCTTGGAAGTTCGCCTTGCTCAATCTTACAACTTCCCCTGCCTCTTGGACCAAAACGTCCTTTATTTTTTCGGTTGGATTCCTTTACGGCTCCACAGAGCTCCATGTCCTTTCACTGCAGTGTTCAGTACCTGAGCGCCAGCGGGGAAGGGGCTCGGGCGCTTCCCGGGCCGGGTCCCTCCCTGGCCCTCAGCAGCTGCTGCTGCCCACGGTCCTGTCCTCAGGGGGGGTATGAGGGGTCAGGGAGGAGGGCTACTCTCTACACCCCCTTTGTTTTGCTCTAAAACTCTTGTTTTGCTCGGTTACATCAGTCTAAAGATGCTCTCTGGGGCCATGGCGGCTTTTTGTCCGAAAGGAGGAGGCCCTAAACGCGTTTCCCTCCCTCCCCTCAGCCCGCCACGATGGCGGACGCCCGCTTTGGGCAGGCCGGGGCAGCTGCCCTGTGGGACGGGCATTCACACGTTGCAGTGCACCACAACGGCCACCCGCAGCACTGGGTCGGGGCGGGCGGTGCTGGGCCGGGGCGGGCGCCATGGAGGCAGCAGCAGGCACAGGGCTGCGAGCAGGGCGGCAAGGCCTTGGCGCAGGGCGCCATGCTGGCCCGGCAGCGCCGCGTGCACACGGGCGAGAAGCCATGCGGCTGCCCGGTGTGCGCCAGCGCCATGGCCCTCTCCTCCGGCCTCGTGCTGCACAAGCGCACACATGGCGGGCGCCCGCACACCTGCCCGCTCTGCGCCGAGGCCTTCACCTCCTCCTCACCCTGCGCCTGCGCTCGCACACAGGCGGGCGGCGCTACCGCTGCCCCGCGTGCGGGACGCGCTGACTGCAGTCCTGCCACCGCGCGCACCACAGCGGCGAGCGGCCCTGCGGCTGCCCCGGCCAGCGCTTCAGCCCGGCCTCGCACCTGCAGACCCGCCGCCGGGTGCGTGCGGGCGAGAGGCCCTTCCAGTGCCCCCCGTGCGGGAAGGCCTTCGCGCTGGAGGCTGGCCTCGCGCTCCACGTCTGCTCGCACGCTGGCGAGAGGCCCTGCGGGTGCGACAAGGGTGGCCAGGGCTTCCGCTCCTCCACCCGCCTCGTGTCGCAGCGGCTCCTCGAGTGGCGAGGGGCGCTCCGAGCGCACGCACGGCGCCCACTGTCATTATACATGAAGAGCAAATTCAGGTGTGTTTGAATGAAGGTGAAGATTTTGTGGGAGGTGGGTGTGGAGGGATGCACCTCCACAAAATGGATTTGGGTTTCTTTTTTTTCTTGCCCTGCTGCCAACAGTGGGTTTAAGAAATGAGCAGGGATTCATCCTGTAAAGTGCGACTTGCTTGTTAAAACACTGTAAACAGCCAGAGGGTTGTGTCTTTGAGCGTTTCCATTTTGCTCACTGTTTATTGCAGCAGGAGATTTTACTCAGCATCCAGATAAAGCTGGGCCTGAGATGGGTTTAAGCACAGCACATTTTGCAGGGAGGTTGCCAAAGAGCATCTTTATTCCCCTTGCTCAAAACTAACAGAGATTAGTGTCAAAAATCTGTAGCTGATCTCAATTTGAATGAGTTTAGCGCTCAAAACACCAACTTGTAGCAAAGCTACAATAATTGGTTGTTTTTAACTAAACTTTTTGGAGTCAGTTGTCACATCAAGGGAAGGATATGGGATGCCATAGAACTATTGCTGTCAAATCGGAGTATTTTAAATTTATTCTAATGCAGTGAGTAGTAAGGATCTTGCTAAAATACTGCCTTTATCCCAGCAACATTCACTGTGAACCAGCACTTTGCATCAGATTTTATAAGCTTTATGTCATTTTAGCAACAGTACTATGAGGCTGCTTCAAGCCTTGATCACTTATTGTCACCCAGAAATTCATTAAAGCAGAAAAAAAAAAGGAATTAGTTCATTTAAAGTACACATTTCCAGTGTTCTGTACTGAGTTCCTGACTTTTTTTAAACTAACTGTATTTTCTTGCTTTCATGTGGAACACACACTTTGCACTTTAAGGATCTTTTTGGAAAGGCACCTGGTCTTGATTTCTAGAAAGCATTCGTAAGTATATGTTTTTAGGCAGAAAAGGAATTTTCTAAAGCTTGCACTTTCAAGATACTGCAGAATGTCAGATCAGAAATCATTTTAATGCATTAACAGAGCTGAATTCTCTCTAATAACTAATTCACAGTTAATACAACTGCAACGAATAACTGACTTTTTGCACTTCAGACTTTACTGGATGCTACGTCTACTAAGATATAATATTTAAATTATATCTTATATGCTAAACTGGTATTTATATTCAACTGTTTAATATACTTGTAATATTTACATGGCCAGATATTGCAAATTACATGTTTCTAATCCAAAATTTCTTGTCATGTAAATTCTGATGTAAATTTTTGCTAGAGTCTTTGGATTCTGTTCTGTGACCAATTGTGTGATTTAGGAGGAAGCAGCACACTGGATTTTCCTTCCAGTTCTGCTATGCCAATGCTATATGGGCAGAACTTTTTGTTTTTGTTTTAATATATTTTAATACATGTTATTATGTTATGTGTCATTAAAATATATACACTGCTATCTTTACCTCTGATCCCTCTTTTTTTCTACACTGGTCCTCCGCCTACAATAAAACATTTACTTACAGGAACAAAAGGCATTTGCTGATTTTTTTTCTAGCATTTCTTAAAACTTACCTAACAAAGGTAACTCCAAAATTACAGTTCTTTATTTGGGGCCAAGATAGCTCATACTGCTGAGCTTCTCCAGTGCAAGGCAAAGCTGCCGTGAAGTTCCTGAGATGCCTGAGTCCCTGAGACGGTACCAGCCTTACTGCCATAAATGCGTGTGCAGGTACTGCTTCACGCCCTGCTCCTGCTCTCACGGTGGCCAAGGGCCAAGCGAGCCAGCCTTGTGTCCCACCAACCCTGCCAGAACTCAGCACCATGCAGTACACCTTCAATTCTTCATTGAGGACCGCTGCAAAGATGTGCAGAGCCACAGGACAGGCTGGGTGGTGGGGAAGGATTCCTCACCCATGGAAAAAGGCGGGTGGGATTCTGCCAGACAGCTTTACCTGCAGCTCCTTGTGCTGAAACATCAGACCCATCAGCAGAATCCAGACTCAGGCTCAAGACAAGGTGATGAGAGCTTCATCAGGATGCTCTGGGACAGACTGTGGCCCCTCTGGGTGACACATACACAGCCCGCTAACTGCTCATGTAAAGAGCTGCAAGAGAGCAGCACCAAGGAAGGAGGAGGATGTTAAAAATGCAGCTGCAGTAGCCTCAGTGCTAACTGACGTCTTACTAAAGGAGCACGACCTGGACTGTCAAAAATACTTGTTCAATCCACCTTGAGCACAGGGTATCTTTCAGGGTCACCCGTTTCTTGCTGTGGCTTTGTGTTGTAGGAAACAGAAGGTTTCTCATAACCCAAAGCCGAGCACAAGGCTGCAGCGCGCCGCTTGCCTCCCATTAAAGCACAATGTGGACTCTTCATAGCGGCCACGGGGAGGAAAGCCAGTGTATTGCTTTGTCTCCCTGGCATTGTGGCACCAGGCTCTGCCAGACCACGAGACAGAGGCTGAGGGTCATTGAACTGGGTGAGAAAAGTAATGAAAACAGAGGAATTTGGGTAGGAGGGGGAAGAAGATGTTTCCAGCTTGTTGGGGCTGTGCTTGCAGTCCTCATACACAGAAATCCCTTGGAGAGACTGGGCTGCTACAGGTCCCTGCTTGGTTCTGTGGCTGCTGTAGCTGCTTCAGAACAAGAAACTCAATGGCCAGGGATGAGCTGGGGCCCTCATAGGAAGCCTCCAATGTGCCCTGTGGGCTGACAGGACACGTTCAGGATCCAGGCAGTTGTCTATCCAAGCCAGTGGGGAGAGATGGAGCAGGCTTCATCCAGTGTCCCACACGAAAGTCTGAAACGCCCGAGAGGGTCTGTCTGCCCCAAGAAGGAGCTGCTGGGCCTGCATCGTCTCTGCAGATGTTCCCTGCACCTGCATCTGAACCAGAGCAGACACTAGGCAAGCTCCATGGGAGATGTGCAAGGTTAAGAACTGAAGATGGTGCCTCCCTGTCAGAAACCACAAGCAGAGGTAGCCCTGTGTCCATTTTCATCTCAAAGACCCTTGGCTTGCTCTGGTTCTTTGTTGCATCTTCTTCAGCTTCAATTTCTCTGAAGTTGAAACACTACAGCACTGTTTTAAGCTGCTTCAGGTTGCCTTTGTCCATTTAAACTGTGTAATGGAAGCAGCACAGCTCTCCCTAGCGAGGACCCGCAGTATGAGAGTGGAAGCATTTCCAGGCACAAACTGAAGGCACAGTAACATCCATGGGAAGGACACCAGAACAACAAGTTATTCAGAAAGAAAAATACTGCCACTGAATGTAGCCAGGCCTGAATCTGTGTGAATTAAGCCTAATTTATAAAATAAATATCAAATTACTTGTACTAATGCACTAATGTATTAGTAGTACTAAATGGACTAGTTTGTGTTCTCAAAGTAAATCTATTTATTGTATCCTCCCCGAATAAGCTCTGCAGGACAGGCAGCTGTTTGCTAGGGGAAGAGCTTCTCAATCCAATTTGTGCTTTCTGTGTGGAGTCAGTATCACCTCACAAGCCTGTTTCTGTGCAGGGTGCTGACAGTTGTTGTATGTGGGAGCAGCGCTTGTATCGCTGCAGCCCCAGGCCAGGGAACCTCCCTGCCGGATGCTGTGCAGACAGACAGTCCCTGACCCAACACCATGAAGTCAGGGTTGGATTTTAAAACCAAATATTGACAGCTGTAAATTCAGGTGTTTCTACCTGGAACACCACCCTCCCATCCCATTTTCTGCTTGACATGGGCTCACTTCTGTGGGATGAAGGACGCCAGGCACCAGGAGCAGTTTTTACTGCCAAATCAAGCAAGTGTTCACAAGTTCACATGTTTCTCTCCAAGGACAGATACAGTTTTTATAGAGGCTCATATAAAACCTCCATCTTTCCTGGCAGGGACAGGTGAGGCAGAAAGAGCTTTCCTGCATGGGGAGAGGAAGGAGAAATTCATCCATGCTGCCATGAAGTCAGGCTGCACACTTGAACATCTCTATGAAGGCGAGGGGGATGGCGATACTCACACCAGATGCCCCAGACAGGCTGCATCCCGCGGACATCTGTGTGGTCCCACAGCCCATGGCAGACCCCTCCTGAGGTCCTGCACCCGGAACACAGAGCGCAGCCAGCGCAGAGTCCACAGCAGAGGTGCCTGACTCAACCCATTAGCTGATGCCAGATGGTAGAAACCACCACCCTCCTTCACCTCATCCCTGACCACCTTTTTACGAGGTGGGGCAGACCTTTGCACTCAGGCCCACAGGTATTTTCCTGTGTCTCCATGGTTGCAGCACCTACAAAACATAAAGAATTATTTTATGGATGCCAGCCCTGCCCTCTGCATCCCTCCTTGCTTGGGCAGGGCCCACCTATTTAAAAGGAACTGGAGGGCTGGTTCTGCCACCTCAGGGAGAGCCGTGCTGAGGACAGCGACCAGGGCTGCTGCTGGGAGAGGTTACGGTCCCTCTCGACCTACCAAGGCAGAGGTTTGAGCTTTTGCATTTATAGCAAATGGGGCTGACAACTGTGTTGCATTTGGGACGTGGGGCTGTGCCTGGTCTCCAGAGTGCAGCCATGCGGGGGGTCAGGAGCCACCGTTGGGAGTCTGCAGTAGCCAGCAGGCCCTGAGCCAAGGCGGGTTGGGGACAGCCCCTGCAGAGCTCAACAACGCAGGGTACTTGCTGCAATTGCTTTTGCTGGGTTGGTTGACACCCAAGGGGACAGGGCGGCTGTGAGGAGCTGTGGTGAGCGAGATCTCTGGGGAGATGGGTGCCGCTGTGCTCAGGGACAGCTATTGGGGGCAGACGAGCCAGGCCTGGCCGTTCACAGCACGGTGGTGTCGCTCTGCAGAGGGTCAGGGCTTGGAGCCATTAACAGCCTGTCTTTCCTTTGCAGCCTGGGGGCGTCGAGAGTATGTCGAGCCACCACCCAGGTGAGGAGGCTCTGTGAGGCCGGGGCAGACCCTGTTGGGTCGTTACCACTGGCACCCAAAGGACCTAGGCTGGGCTACTCCCTTCCTCCTTCCCAACATATCCCATGCTACTCTCTTATGGGATCACATGGCCCCATGGAGGGTCATGCAGGGAGGGCCTGGGGGACCTCACCACACTCCCTAACGTATTCCCACTTCCTGCAGGGCCGCACGGAGGGCCACCACCACCACATCCTGGGCCTGGACACCCACCTCCACCTCACGGTCACCCACATCCCCACCCACCGGGTCCCCATCCACCGGGTCCCCACCCGCCAGGTCCCCATCCACCAGGTCACCACCCGCCAGGTCACCACCCACCGGGTCACCACCCGCCAGGTCCACCGCATGGACATCACTGATAGGCACTGAAAGGCCATGACGACCTTGGCACATGTCTGTCTCTCCTGGCCGCCTGCTCACCCTGCACTTCCAGGAGTGGCCAGGGAGAGACGCTGCTTGCTGCCCTGCAGCTCCCCGTTCTCGGTGGGCTGATGGTCCCATCTGATCTTTGCACTACCTTGTAAGAGTCTCTGCCAGAAACTGAGGCTTACAGATTTTTCTCTTCAATAAATACCCATTTAACCCCTCTGCTTGGGCCAAATGGTTTCTGTGGCTGGCAGAAAGGACTTCCGAGCTACACTTCCCACACAGACATGATGACACAGATGTGGGGCTGCTGCAGCCCCAGCCCTCCCATCTTACCCCCACAAGCCACTGACATGCTGATAGGATGGGACTGCTGACATCTTCCTCCCAGCTTCTCCTCTTGCTGAGGCTGGAAGCTCCCAAAGATGGAAATCTCCCTTCTTTAGACAGTCGTGCCAGCTCTGGGGAATATGGATGTCCCTCCAGCATCTCTGCATCCCTTCACACCCAGGGGCCACTGGGCCCTGCATGCAAGGGGTCAGAGGACCACCAGTCCAGTCTGGGACCCAGCAAGGAGAACATGGGTCTCAGCTTTCACAGAAACTGTTTTTAGTGCAGATCAGCACAACTGCCATCTCTACCAGAAAGGGAGCAGAAGAAGGGCGGACACCTTTCTAGAATGGTGCCACTGTTCCTTGGGTGGCTCCATCTGTAGGGCTGGGTAAGCAGAGAAGGCTTTGAATCATGTAGAGGACTGGGATGGGAAAGACAGTGGACCGAGGCGCTGGATTTGACTGGTCACTATTTGGGGAACAGTTAATTGGGACAGCTATACATGGGAATAGCATGGAGAGGAGGTCTTTCCCAGCCAAAGCTTATATCTGAACTCTCTGGCTCTTATCTCCCTCCTGCCCTAATCTTTTCTCCTCTCCTTCACAGCCATCTCTGGTCCACTTGGTCATCCCCTATGTCCAGCCTTAACAGAGCAGAGGAGAAACTGAAAATTTGGGGGACATGAGGCAGGATATGCATCCAGAGGGGCTGCTGCAGTGTATGCAAAGAGCTGCTCAGGCCTCAACAGCCCCATCGTGCTCATTTTAACAACTCAAATTGCTGTATGGCCTAATGACACTGTTTCAGTGCGGTTTCTGTAGCTCGTGGGGAAACGTTTGAGCTGTGCTTCCCACGGGGATGTGACCACCCAGCAGGTGCAGGCAGGCATGGGGCACTCACTGTCCCTCTCAAAATAAAAGGAGTTTGAGGGAAGATGCAACCAGCCCCACACATGAAGCGCACAGCAAACGGGTAAATAGCCATGGGCACAAGCCACGGCAGGGCAAATCCCCAGCGTGTATCAGAACGAGCGGCAGGGACGCCCCTGTCTGCCAGGCACGGCCTGGGCCCAGTGCCTGGCTCCAAGTGCCTCCGCCTCAGGCTGCCATTGGCGCTGCGACACTGCCTGGGGCCCCGGCTCTCCGCCCCCGCCATAAGAAGCCGGAGGCTGCCCTGCGGCTCCGTCGGCACAGCTTGCCCACTGGCAGGGAGGTGAGTGAGATGGGCTGGGGGGGCCAAGGCAGTGGCTGGCACTGCTGTGAGGGGCTGCGGAGCTGCTGTGGGGGGACTAGATCAGGAGGCCAGCGGCTGGTTTTCTCCCGCAGCCTGGGCTGAAGCATCCACAGCCTCCCGCCCGGCCCCAGGGCCACACCGCCGCCATGTCGGAGCTGGAGAAAGCCATGGTGGCCATCATGGATGCTTTCCACCGGTACGCGGGGAAGGAGGGCGACGAGCACAAGCTGAAGAAAGCGGAGCTGAAGGAGCTCCTCAACCACGAGCTCCCGCACTTCCTCGGTGTGAGTACAGCATGCTGCGGCGCCCGGCGTGGCCACCTCCCCTCGCCCATGGGCTGGGGGACAGGCAGGGGCTAAGTGTGAGGGGCATCACCTCCCCGTGCAGGGGCACCCTCCTGCCTCCCGCCCAGCAGCATGTTTCTCTCCCTCCAGGAAATCCATGACCAGGAGACAGTGGACAAAGTCATGGAGGCGCTCGACAGCGATGGGGACGCCGAGTGCGACTTCCAGGAGTTCGTGGCTTTTGTGGCCATGGTCACGGCCGCCTGCCACGCGTCCCTGGAGCAGGAGTGAGGCGCGGCCACCTCAGAGGGCCGTGGCTGGCAGCGCAGGGGCAGCTGCTCCAGCTGCGGCTCGGGCGGCTCCTCAGGGCTTGACGCCCAGCGGCCTCGGCCGCCGCGGGCGCTTCGGAGCGCAGAGAGAATAAAGATGCTCCCCTGGGCCACACCAGGCTCCCGTGCAGCGCCCTCCCTTCCTCCCCACAGCGCGGCCGTGTGCCGGCTCCCGTGTAGCGCCCTCCCTTCCTCCCCACAGCGCGGCCGTGTGCCGGCTCCCGTGTAGCGCCCTCCCTTCCTCCCCACAGCGCGGCCATGTCCCGGCTCCCGTGCAGCGCCCCCGTCCCCACAGCGCGGCCATGTCCCGGCTCCCGTGCAG